CTGACTGCAATTCTTGTTAATTCTGAGAGATATTCTGTTTATTCTCTTTTATAACAGAACTGAAAGTTTGTGATGAATCTGCTGAGATCTTGCAGAGAAGATAATTAGATGACATACTCTTTTCAGTTTCTTTTTAAAGTGATTTGAAACTGTAATAACTAGCTTGACTATTGTCAGAGACTAGACATCTTCTTGATATTGAAGTGAAACTATATGAGTACTGGTATCTAGTGACTAGCTAGAGACTAGATAGAGATTATTGCTATTGATCTAAGTAATAATAATGTATATCTAAATTGTATACAATAATATTTAGATCATAAGATAGATTCTAGTAGTAAATAGTAGATAGATAATAAATGAATCACTTGCTCTCTTACAAGTGAGCAAGACAGTCCCCTGCTTATATCTTTGAGGTGGCAACATCTTGCCACAATGCTGTCATAAATACTATCTGCTGGATGGAGGTTAGATAGCTGCTTCTCACTGGCAGTGTCCTTACAATAATCAACACTACTTGAAATCTTTTAACTGAAAAACTTCAAAAAGTAAAGTAAGAGAATGTTTAGTATTATGATACAATCTCAAATTAGACACAAGAATAGAAGAAAAAGAATCTAATAAACTATTGTACTAAATAGATTTAATCAAAAATACTAAATATGATGAAGAAAAGAGAGATCTGAAATAATCATGCAATATATACTCTCTTGCTCTGAGCTCTTACTCTAGCTCTACTAACAGCAATTGCAAGAAGAATTTGGTGGTCATGTAATCTCAAGTTCAACACTTCTTTACCACTCCATGTCAGACTCTAACACTCCCAGCCAATTCAAAACTTGTTGAGTCAAGTTGAGTATCATGACTACTCAGTTTGACTGAATTTTGTTTGCAGTCTAACATTAGAGTCTGACATAACATCATCATATTTAGTTTTCAGTTTGTATCACTCTTATTTGAAGCTCAATAATTTGATCCATTTCCATTTTGTCAACTGTGAGAAGGACATGAGACAGAAAAGGGAAAACCAGTTCCAGAATTCTGATCTCATCAGCCCAGCCTACTAGTTATGATAGTTTGCCTCATCAAATCAGTTTAAGATTCTTGTTCTCTTTCTTAATACCTGTTTGGCCAGCTTGACCTTGTCAGCAATGATCAAATCCACTCCCGCTTCAGCTTGAATCTGCGATTCAGAAGTCAATTTGTGGCATCATGCAAATATCTAGGTTATAGAGAATGGCTCACCTCTATGCATCTAGTGTCATTATTCAATGGTCCGTATGTAGCTGTGTACAGTCCTTGCTTTCTCACGAATTCTACCAGGCCGGGGCTCGCAACGAACGGCTCGGACGCCATGGCCACTCCAGCCAGGCCGAACTTATGAGCGAAGCGGATAGCAGTCTGCAGACTTGTCGCTCTCATATCCCCTGTCGGCCAGTTTGACGAATCGTTCAGAAAAAGGATGGGGTATGTCTGCTGCTTTACCGAGAGCACCATGCATATCTCCGGACTGAACGATGTGAAGATGACTCGGCGACGAGGTCCTGCGTGCGCATATGTCACAGCGAGGATCGAGTCAAGGAAATGATTAACTTCTGACGCAAAAACGTCCATTTGAAAATCAACCGCTTCGTAAAGCATGGGATATTCTAAGACTTGGTTAGACGTATGGAGTCACACCAAGGGGAGAATGGCGGGTGGAAATCACTGAGTTCAATATCAAACGAGACCTCCTCCGGCAGGTTATGGAATAGCTGTTCAAGCGTGACAAAGGGCTCGTGGATACTGTAGTTCCTGAGATTAGCTTTGTAATTGGGGTAGTTTAACGTGTGTTCCATCTGGCTGACAAGCGCTTTAGTGGCGCTGTCTAGCGGTGCACAAAGTGAACTGCGTCGCGGGCTTGGAAGGACACGAGGACGGTCGCGCTCATCCCAAGGCAGCCTGGAGGAAGCAGTGGTGGGCAGTTGCGAGGCGGACTGCGCATCGCTGATGGCCATGAACTGATGATATTTTATGTTAGCAAGTAAAAAATGGAGTTGTTGAACATGCAAACTCACTTGCTTGAAGGTAAGCGTGTGCATGGGCGCGTCGGAGCCTTTCTCAGCCACGATGAAGTCATGGTAGATGACTGGGATATCATCTTTGGTCAACTGAACGTCTGCGAGTAACGTTAGATGATGTTTCTGGAGACGAAGAACGCAGACCGGTAGCTTAGCCATACCAAATTCGACAACATCAGCCCCGTGGTCAATAGCGGTTTGGAATGACTTTTCAGGGGGTTAGAAGAGTGACGCTTCTTAGGAAGTCGAGGATCTCGTGATACCTGAAGCGTATTCTCTCCAACTTGTAAGCAGGGTGAGTTGCTGTTCTGTCCGTTTCCTGCTCACTCGGGTTAGCGTCCCTCTCTTAGGTGATCGTAAATCCTTACCGCGATGACCACCCAGAGTCGATGAGGACTCTAGTTGGAGAACCTGGGGGTCCATCGGTGGGCGTTGTACGTGCTTAAAGGGGCGAGCGATGACAAAGCTGAAAACCACTGTTCCGACGTGGCCATATCTGTCACTGACAAGTGGTATAGTGAAGTCCCTTACTAGACTCTCGCGGTTTGCTCCCAAAGCTTCCTTTAGGCTGCCGAGAAGTGCGACACCCGTCCCAATGGGTTTTTCTTCCAACGAGCTTGTGAGTTGAAAGACAATAGCTGCGCTGTCTGGATCTTTAGCTGTGAAGCACCAAGGTTTGTCAGACATTTCTGAGGTAATTGGAAGAGAGACTGTGTACGCTTGCTGGTTGAGGTCTCCGTCAAGGGAGATGTTAAGATCCAGGCACGTATCAGGTAGTTGAACTGGTGATATGCGTCTCCTGTATGATGTAACATCGACCTCGGCTGCTCTCTTGAAAAGGTCTAGCGTCCCTAGGTGGATGAAAATGACGGAGTCGGTTGATGAGCGTCGAGGTAAAATGGTCGCTCCACCATATCGTTTCCCAGGTTTGGACGTTAAAGCGAGCGAGCCATGTGCTTTGATCGCGTTCATAATCTTGATGTGGCCCCTATACGCGGCATGATCCTTGGCTAGCCACCCTTGCGAATCCGGTATGTCAGTATCTGCACCAGCTTGAAGAAGCGCCTCGACCATATTGGCATGTCCCTGTACGCAAGCGGTAACGAGGGGCGTCCACCCTCTGGCACTGTCTTGGGCGTTGATGTCCACTTTTAGCGCAACCAGGCCGTTAACCAAGTCTGTGAGTCCATGTTCCGAAACCAAATGCAGGACAGTCTTGCCGGATTTGCTAACAAATCGCGAGCCCCAGCCTTCCTGGATCAGTCGCATGGCAATGTCCTTGAACTCGGACGATATGGCTGTCGCGAGGAGGTCTGATTCTTCGACCGTATCAAGCCTATCCGAAAAATTTTGGGACTTATGTTCCAAAAGTAAAAGTTCAACCACAGCTGTATGACCGTGCCGAACCGCGTAGTCCAACGGCGTTTGACCGAAAGTATCCGGGCAAATACGAACTTGTTCTGTAACAGGTTCAAGGGCCGGGTTTCGGATGGCGGCTATGATTTCTTTACATACCCCATGAAGACCTAGGCGAGCTGCATGATGAAGGGGTAGACGGCCTAAGGTGTCTTGACTTTGCAGTAGAGGGAGTTGGCTTGGGTGGAGGAGCTTCAGAACCTGGTGAAAGGCATTTGTTGCCGAGAAATTGTCCAAAGGCGGCTGAAAGCGGGTGAATTGCTGTACGATATGATGCAAATACTCATCGTGCCTGGGGCTGACGGTTTCACCTAGGTAGGGCCGAAGACTAGACAGACAAGTACTCCGGCATCTGGATGATCGATAAATGGTGGCGACTTGAACTAGTCGTGCGAGAACCAATTGCTTTTCCGGGGAGGAAGTCGAGTATTGACGATTCAGAGCTGCCTTTAAGTTTACAGCATCATCCTCGCGCAGGCACTGCATAGTTTCGGGTGGAAAAAGGTGCATTCCATAAAGCTCAAGAAGCAATGACCGTGAAGACGTGCCTGCGTCTTCTAGTTCCATAGCTTCTCGCACGAGTTGCAGGTTTGCGTTTAGCCGGGTGAGCCATGCGTCATGGAAAGAAGATTGGCCATGGCGAACAAGCCTTGGAGGGATATTGATATCGAGTGGTTCTTCCAAACTGTAGGTGACGGCGGCCTTGTCGAGGATATGAGACAGAGCATCGTGATTGACCTTGGCAAAATGGTGACATTGGGCGACGTCGTAGGCACACTCCAACAATGAGCTCTGTAGGTCTTCTAGCTCCAACGGGGAGACGCCACTATACTCGAGTGGTTCCGTTGAGCCAATCGTGATGCCCCAATGCTTACTCAGAGTATAGATTTTGGCTTCGATGTTGCTTTCTTGGACAGAAAGGAACTTGTCAACAATCTCCAGCTCAAGGTGGATAGCTTTGTTGAGATCTGATAATCGTTCAAAAAGTCAGTATTTCGAATAGAAAGGGTTCTACATGAAGAGGCTGTACTGACCTATGAGAGATGCCTGGGTGTTGACCAGGGCCTTCAAGCGAGAATAGTCAATGTAGCATTCCGTCCAGGCGGGGACTCGCCGGTGGTGCAGGTTCCTGCCGAATCGCATTTTTTCTGGAGCGGGTTCGGATATCGGGCAAAAAGTCCTATTTCCCAACTGCAGTGAAAGGGAAAACGGGGTGGTACGCGTGATGTACAGAAGCTCGTCGCTGGAGGGGCCTCTACCCCGACGTAACGGCGAGAACCACCTCAAGATCTGGATGTAGCAGGAATTGGTGATCCCAATGCAGAAAGCAAAACCCCCAAGACGCGCCTAGATCTGTTGTATGAAAGTAGGAACAGCGGCAGGCGAGGAGGGGCAAGCGGACAGCTAAAACGAGGGGTATGAGCATGGAGGATCTTCGATCATCCTCTCCAGTGACATGGCTGCATTCACCGTTTGCATGCCCCTTGAGGATTGGGGGCCACTGATATATTTAGCCCATGTGGCCAGGATTTGCTGCCTCCAATGGCAACCCCCAAATGCAGACGGATGAAAAGTTCAAACTTCCGGAGATCAGTTTGCATAAGCGCGATGCTGGGCGAATTGCTTTCGCAAGACTCCATATACCGAACTGACCATCGACTTCATCTCCCCTTGTTGATCCCTTGTTCACCGTTGTCTCCGTGTTCTCCATTTAACTATGCCTCGTCAGCAAATTGATAACTCGCGTTGTGTCACAGTCACTGCCTCCAACGATAAAAAGCATGGTCCTTTTGGTGACCATGGATGGACCACCCCTGTCTCATTGGGCGTCATCCTCTTGCATCCTCCATCCACGAAATTTGATTGGAATGCGACGACGAGGGGCCTGAGATCCCCGTCAGCTGAGGTCAAGAGGGCAAAGATGCATCGGAATAATATCGGCGAAACTAAAGACCGGGGCAGCCATACCGAAAGCGGTTAACTCACCCCCTGATCCTTGCACCCGCGGATCCAACCCACCAATATTCTCTTCTCCCGCTGTCAAGGTTGATACGAGCGGGAAGTCATCCATGGATGAACATCTCATGTAGCGTGCCCACCGCACACCCGCAAGAAACGTAAAATGGACTCCGATGCGCAGACTACAATAAAACCAGGTAGAAATCCCCCGATAATATACTCCCTGTGTTCTCTGGCATTCTTTGTAGCACGCCCAGGGCCAGTATACTGAACTTTGCGGGAGAGGAGAAAGGGGAGGGGTGATCAGTGGAAATGCATGTGCCCTGTTGGTTTTGCTTTCCATGCGTCCTCCGTACTCTTGACCAATTATGCTGCAAATTTCGGTTCCCTCAATGCATTGTTCTCATGTTGGTCCGGTTCCCTGCAAGGGATGCAGATGAGGGGGATTCAGCTCTGCGAAAAATAGGCAATATGTATGCGGCCTTGCTGCTGCGAGTCAAATAAGACCATTCTCGTTCTGACTGTCAGAAGGACAACAGAGGCACAAAGCAAAGCAGACTTACCAGCAAGAAGCTCGCATAGAAAGGCATATGAAGTTGTCATGTTCCTCCCAGTGGTTAGTAGGGTTAGTTAGATGGGATGAAAAGCTCACCTTTCATCCTGCCATTTGAGCCAGTCTGTGTTTGTGAGTCTTTCCAATATTCGCCCACAAGCACCACTGTCCTGAATACAAGTGTTGATATGCTTATTTCTAGGATAGTCAGCGCCTGAACTTTCTTGATCTCGCTTCGACATTCTCCTATTCGCGCAGCTCCCCTAGGGCTCATGAAGGCCGATGCTGTGGTTTGAGGCGCTTGTCTTGATACCAGCAATTTGGTAGCGAATATGGCGGAAGCTGTTGGCCTGATAGCCTCGGTTGTGACCCTCAGCAAGCTGGCTAATGGGGTGTGTAGAGGGCTGCGCGACCTGCATGAGCTACTAGGAGAGCTCCCGGGCAGACTGGCCTCTCTCAGCAACGAGGTGGACGATGCTAAAATCGTGCTTGTTCACCTGTCCAGATGTCTCAAAGAGCGTGAGCTGCGCAAGTCAAACGCCAACGACGAGGACGATCATCTCGGCGCAGACATCCACGATGAGGTGGCCGTCCATATTGCTAAGCTAAAGGGGTATCTGACTGAATTGGACTCGATTGTTGAAGAGGTTCGCACGACGGGCCTGCAGTCCAAATTTGGGTCTGCCCATCGAGTCTATGCCTGGAAGAAACATCACGGCCGCCTCAACGAGGTGCAGAAACAGATTGTTGCTGCGAAAGCCAACCTGCATTTCATATTAGACACTGCTGCCACGTATGTACTTTCATTTGGTAATATTCTTTCCCCGGGATGCCCTCCATTATTATGATCTCTGATTTGTCGCGTGGCTGTCCCACTTGAGATCGCGGCGCTCACCGCCAAGGTCACTCACTAACTAGTCAGTTAACCTAGTTAGTTAGATAAGAACCCCCAGTGCAGCGCCCCTCATTCCTGCCTTTATCTTCGCGTGATGTCAATGCTCTGCTGACGGCCTTTTCTTTGTCTGTAGATACAAGCTCACCCGAGTGGACATTCAGCTCAATGAGCTGTCACACGCGAATTCTACCCAGGGCACGGAGCTCAAATCTCTGATCAACAACCATCACGAAGCTTTAAAGTCCTACATCACCGAACAGCTCTCCCTCACAATGTCAACAATGAACGACAATACCCCCCGCCTGCCACGGCTACATCCGAATGTCATCAGAACTCGTTCTCGAGCCGCTGCAGCAACGAAAGATGGCAAATCTCAGCTTCAGCCGTCCAACTCCCAACAAATCGAGACTGTCCGCGTCGGCGTCCAAAGCAACAGGACCTGGTGTGATCGAGCATGCCCTTGTCAATGTCACAATTCACGGCGCTCCCAGACACCAGGCATCGTGAGCAGGTTTCTTGGTCAGCTCTTTGTTGACTACTCCGGCATACCTGCTGTGACTCCGGAATGCAACCATCAAGCTTGCAACCAGGCTAGGGCCCCCAAGGTCCAGGCCGAATTCTGGTTCCCAGCCAACGTCTTTTGGTCCAAAATATTTCAACTCCAGGCGACTTATCATGGCGTCACCGGCCCATCCCTACAGCTACGGACCTACCGCCATGTGCCTGACTCGGCCCCCGCTGTCAACTACACCATCAATGGCAACATTAATGCCCTGAAGGCGCTGTTTGCCCAAGGGCTGGCGTCTCCTCTTGATATCAGTGACACACGCGGATACTCGTTGCTTCGTGTAAGTTTAACCCCCCAAAATCCCTTCATTCTACTTATGTTCCCAAAACAGAGCCAAAGTCTCATGCTAACACCATATAATGTATTTACCTCCTTCAGTGGGCTATTTACTCGCAACAGTGGGAAATATGTCGCTTCCTGTACGACCAAGGTGCAGATGCCGACTATAGGTACGCTCTCAATGACTTCACACTCTTCGTCCCTTTCTTGCCCGGTACTAACGCGAAGCAGGCCAAAGTCTCGAAACGATAACAGTCCCCGCAACAAAGCCTCTGATTTGCTTCTGCAAGGCGGCCTTGGACGAGATGCTGTCAATGCCCTCAGCCGCATAAGCCGCCGCGAAGACTGGCTGGACGAACAAAACTTGCCCCTTTTGCACCAGATTGTCCTTGGTATATCAGGCCGAGACCTCGTGCAAGAACTTCAGGAGCATCCCGAAGCTGTCAACTATCAAGACGCAATGGGACGCACTGCCCTTCTCTGGGCGGCCGCGCGCGGCGACGACGAGGCTGTCACCACGCTTTTGCACTTCAATGCGGATCCCAACATTATGGATTCTCAGCATGCCGGTCCGGTGTCCTATGCTGCGGACCGAAACCACACCACCTGTACTCGCATCCTCCTTGCCGCCGGTTGCGATCCGGATCCCATCATCCCGGGTGGCTACAAGGTTGGGAGCCCTCTTAACTGCGCGGCTCGCAACGCAACAGATCCCCTTCTTATCAAGGCGTTGCTCCAATATGGAGCTAATGTGGATGCTGTAGGTCCCCATTGCCGGCTTCCACCCTTTCCTGCGTCCTGGTACTGACTCATTTTTGACAAGTGTGGCGTAGACGGGCGGACAGCGTTGATCCACGCCACACGGAATGATAATGTCGATTTTGCCAAACTCCTTCTCGAGTACAATGCAAACATCAATGCGATCTCGACTGCGGGACAGACTCCGTTGACCACGGCCATTGTGAACAACAGCCATGGAGTCTTGAGCCTCCTGCTCGAGAGATGGGATCAGTATAGCGTTTGCCCCCGTCTCATGGGGCCACACCTGCTAAAAATCACAGCGCAGTATGGTATGTAATATGGCTTGAAGAATTTTCCTCCTCATTCTAGTTAGATGTAGCATCTTGTCCTAACAGTACTGTCTTCACAGCGGACCTTGAAACCATGTCCATTCTCCTCCAAACGGACCACTTCCGCCTTAAGCATGATGAGCGGTACAGCATTGGCGATTTCGACTCACTCCTTCATCAACGGCTCGATGTGGACGAAGAAATGAAGCAGATGTTTGATGAACTGCTGACCCTGGTTCGCGCTCAAGCTAGTTGCCAGTCCGAGACCAGTGGAAGCTTGATGGAAAAGGGCATTAACTTTGAGCAAGAGAAACACGACTATGCAGAAAAAATATGAATGGCACCTGGCTATACTCATCTATATAAGAACCCCTGACTACACACTTGCACAATGTTATTAATTATTCATATCTCTTCTCAGTAAAAAATAAAAAAAAAGAAAGAAAGAAAGAAAGAAAGAAAGAAAGAAAGAAAGAAAGAAAGGAAAACGAAAAGAAAATAAAAGAGAAAAAAAGAAGGGGAGAATTACAGTTGTCAGAATAACAATCAGACTCTTGAACTTGTCTTGCTTCATGAAGAAATATGAATAAAATTTGCAATTCTTTGACTTAATCAAGATGACTGATTATTCTCATTCTACTTTTATCATTATCTCTGCTTTTATAGGTCTTCGTTGGGGGACCGTTGCTCAGTGGTAGATTAACTGGTTAGAGTCCACATTTAACTGGACCTCAAAATCCCACGCACCCACCAGCTTCTGGTAGAGGCGATGATCTCTTATACTGACCAGGCCCCCTAGTTAGCTGCATGATCAGGGGAGAATGTCCACTCAAACCTTGTGTACTACTTCTCAACATACCTCCTCCTGTTTCCGGATACAGACTGCGTGTTCGGCTACAGAGTGTGGAGTACTCCATACTCCTATGATAAACCATGTCGGCCCTTCAGCTGCAGCTTTGTTCCGCCTCTTGCCCGCTCTCTCAGCAGTTAAATAGACACTGCTCGCGTATGCCACCCGCTTGACAGTGATGTCTTTTGTCAACAAGGCTGTCACCCACACAGTCCCAATTTTCCCTTTAGTCGAGGTGCAGAAATCGTCAGGTAAAGAGCCATGGCTACGGCGAGAAGCAAGGATGAAAAGGTTGCCAAACAGCCATTGGAAAATACCACTGAAGTCGGCGATTCAAGTGTCGTTCTTGTGGACTTTGAGGAGAATGACCCAGAAAACCCTTTGAATTGGTCCCCAATGCACAAATGGCTGATTGTGTTTGTTATCTCATGGATGGGCTTCGTCAGGTGGGTGTCTTTTTTGGTTCTCACTACTTGCTCTTTATCTGTCATTATCGACTGACCGAATCAGTGTCTTTTCGACAATGACGATCGTACCTACAGCGCCCCAGGTCTTGCAAGAGTTCCATTCGCACAATAAGCTCAACCAGATCTTGCTCGTCACGATTTGGGAGCTCGGGGAAGGGATTGGCCCGTTTTTTATTGCGCCGCTCTCCGAAAGATTCGGTCGGCTTCCCATCTTCCATATTGGAAACTTCCTCGCGCTCTGTTGCTTGATCGCCAGCGCCCTGAGCGTAAACCTCTCAATGCTCATTGCATTTCGATTCTTAACGGGTTGTTTCCTGTCAATTCTCACCCTCGGGCCCGCCATTGTTGGGGATTTGTTCCAACTGGAACAAACCGGCCGAACTATGGCATTGGTCATGGGAACTCAGATGCTAGCAGATTTCGTCTCACCTGTCGCAGGGGCGTATATCGCACACAGCCTGGGTTGGAGATGGTCGATTTGGCTTGCGGTCATTGTCCTCGGATTCTTCAGCTTGCTCTTACTGGCGGTGCTCCGGGAGACATACGCAGTCGTCATTCTAAGGCGGAAGGCGGAGCGGTTACAAGAGGAGCGCATGGACGACAAGAAGTATCGTTCCAAACATCAGGTCCGTGTCGATGCATCCACCATGCTCGAAAGCGCTATAAAACCGCTGCACATCCTGACTCAGTCTCCCATCCTCATTCTGACGACGAGCTACATGGCCACAACATACGCCTTGGTCTCACTGATCCTTGCCACACTCACAGAAAGCATGCAGTCGACGTACCCCACCGTCTTTTCTACCGGCTCCATTGGCTTAACGTTTTTAAGTCTCGCCATCGGCAACACCGTCGCTTTGATCTTCTACAGTCTCACTTCCGACCGCTACATGATCCACCAGCGGGGAAACCAAGGGCGACGCATTCAGGCCGGAGTCTCGGCTGGTGCATCTGCTTCTTGCCGCAATAATTCTTCCCCTGGGCTTCCTCATCTACGGATGGACATTAGAGTTTCACGTTCATTACATCGTGCCGCTCATTGGAACGTGTGCTGCGGGGTTCAGCATGACGCTTTCCGCCATACCGGCCGAAACATACGTGGTGGATGTTTACGAGATCCATGGGGCATCAGCTATAGCTGCTGGTGTGATCTTCCGAGCGCTTGCTGGGGCTTTTCTTCCATTAATCGGCCCTCCTTTATATCAAACCATTGGACAGGGCTGGGGTAACACTGTTCTAGCCTTTATCGCAGCCGCTTTCATTCCCCCTTTGGGCTTGCTGATGAAATACGGAGACTGGTTTCGTAGTAAAGAACGGTTTGAAAGGACTGGACGATAAATTGAATGCTATTTATAGCTAATGCTACTCACTTATGTCGCTATTGTATGATTAGGATGCTTGAGAGTCGGGACATTCAGTCAAAATAAACAAATACTCTAGCTTCAATACTCTCACGCAACTGCTTGTTGTTACTATTACGAGTATCTCGAAAAGCCGTATGGGGAACTCCTAAAATCCAGTGTCAATATTTGAAGAGACAAATCCTCTAGAACAGAGCGGCAAGATCTAACTACTATACCTGCTCGGTTCTCTGCTTGGGAATCTGCCTGTATGAAGGCGATTACCTCATCGGCCTGCATACCGTGCCAGTAGTACCATTTGTGCCTCTCGTCAAAATATATTCGAGTATTTTCGTTGACATAATCACGAGTAACGATATCCATTGCAGTGGCTTGAGATGCGTAGTCTACTGTACGGCGGTCGCAAAGCGTGAGCGGAAAGTCGTATACTGGCCCTCTTATCGGTTTCCATAGGCTGGCGTAATGAAGGGTAAGCTGTTGGATGCAGCTTTCTGGGGGCCTGGACAGACATACTTTACAACGACGAATCTTGAATAACTTTTCGGGTATATGTTAAACTGCTTTATACTGCATTTTGCAGCTGAGGAGGCCGTCATATCTGAATTTAATCAACCGATCAGGATACAAAGTTCAAAAGGTTATATGTACGATGAAGTGCGCATACCAATGTGCACATAGTCACTCGGTTGGTTTGTTGTAAATTCGTGTCGTTCTAGGCTCTCAGATAGCCAACGAGGGTGACGTTTGCGAACCTGGTTCCAGACGATCAGCCTTTTGAAGCCTTCCATCTTCGGGTCTTTGCTTACTGCGTGTTCTAGGACTTCAACGCGCGCAGCATTTGGGAACAACAACCGGGCAATTGATTTGTACTCGGGATATAGAACTTCTTCCACTTTCTTGTCATCGCAATACTCCTCAGGGGTCAAAGGGCAATCAAGGCGCAGCTGAGCAAACCCCCACTTGGAGAACATCTCTCCCGATGGAATATCCAGATTCCGAGCATTACGGATGTGAACAAAATGATCGTCGGCGGTTGTGTTTGTTGGAGCAATAACGGAATCGTACTTGAAGTACAAATAATATGGTTTCACCAGCTGGTGCTGGCCGTCTCTGGCAAGATACTGGATCTTTGCTTTAAATAAGGCATCAGAGTCAACAGCGGCCATTGCTACTGTATTGCCTCCTTCAGGCTCCGGCATTCCTTCAATGACAATGCTCTTGTTCAGATAGTCCCTGGGAAACAAAACGAGCTTCCAGCAATATCAGCGGATTCCCTGAAATCGACGATTGGCAAAGACAAATAGGCGGGTTAGGTAGATTCCTCAACTCTACCCCGCAGTTTCTCGCGGTCGCTTCCCAATCAAGCCTCTGGTTCGCTGGCTATACTGGGGGGCGACTTGAGCACTTCAAACCCGGCTCCAAGTAAGATGAGCGCTTGGTCCACGAGATACTACCCCCCACTCGTTCTATCCATGCCCTTGACATAAAAGACAATCGCTCAGCCGCAGTACGACAAGTGAGGGGATAGAATCCTTATCCCGTGCAAAGAGATCCAGCTACCGCCTCAGGTTATCTCGCTCAGTGTTGGACGATGCGACGCCATGCCTCGACACCCCAAAGGCTATTGTGTGATTGGCGTGGCGCTTAGGTGGAGACGAGCGGGATGACCCACTTAGGGGCGACCCAGAGGACTGGTTGAGCGCCGCGGAGAAAGTTAAAGAAAAACGCACTCAATTAACTAGCTAAGCACTGTAACGCGCCTGTTGCGCTAGACCGGGATCTATGTAACTATTGCAGCTCGGACGCCTCGGAAACACTAACACCGGAGATTATGCACACACTCTATTCCATACTTACAGACAGTAGTCAGGGTCAATGCTGATCAGCCGCACCACAACCAAAGCATGCGAGTCAATGTTACCGCCAAGGATGCTTGAAAATGTCTTAGGATGCTTGTCTGTGTGGGTCTTGAGTGCCGAATTGCCTTAACCCTGGTGATTCAAGAAAATGCAAGCAGCACTAAGCTGTCTTGGGATGAATGTGCAAGCTTGCTGAATTCAGTTGTCACCATGATGCCGCCTCAGATGTGCATGATATTAAAAAGTGTGTGCATAGCTTGCCTGGGGCTTGGATCCTTCCGGATATCTTGTATAAAGTTGCAATATGATGAGGCATCTATGCAGAGCAGGGAAGCAAAATGAGCTCACAGAGATGTCTAAATATGCGAGCTAATAAAAACCATCTGTTACGGTACAACAAAGTGGACATATCATTTTATGGACGATACTGGGGGGGCAGCGCTCGAGTGGAGTTGAAACAAGAGACAGGACATTTGGATTACCAGGTCTTATGGCTTCAATGTCACTTAACTACTGGCTATCGGTATGGGTAGTTACTGTACATATCGCTGCGCCCACATTCAGCTTCATCGTCCATGTCACCTCACGCATACTCGCCTGCTCCAAGGGTTCCATTCACGACCAGTGAATAAGTACTCCGTATGGCGAAAGATATCGAGTCACCCACGCATTCGAGTGCGGTCTCAAGCGGTATATAAACCCTCGTGACTATCTCCATTACCTGACTCTCTCCATCACTCACGGATATCAATCTCAAACAAAATAAATTCCATTACCCAAAACACGCGCTCTTCAAGAATGGTAGGAGCACCTTGGAAATCTTCAATCATATAGGGTATAACTAACTGGGTCCCAGCCTCAATCCACCACCACGACCGCAGTTGACGAGAGATCTCAGCCATGGCAGGCGATGCAGGAAGTCCAAAACCTGTTCAAACCCGAGACCGATGCCAACCCCGAACTTGCTGCCAACGCCGAGTCCAACAAGATTGACGAAGAGCCTTTGAAGCTCAATTTCCTCAGGACCAATCTCAATGCCGCGAGAACCAACATTGCGAATGTGGAGGAGCAACACTAAGAGCCACGTTATCATACTTGGGACTGTCGAAGCCCGATTCAGAGACGGAGCACTCACCCGAGGAGAAATGAGCGATGATGGACTGCGTCTGGCCAGATGCTATATATATTCATGTTAATGGCACAGAGCATCTTGTTTGTCTTAAGCATGACCGACCTATTTGTCACTCCTTTGCTATATACATATACTAGTTGGCCTTCCCTTGCTTTTGTAGAGAGGATAATCAGTCATGTGTGCACACAACCTAAATCGCTTTCTACTAGAAGTAGCCTATTAAAAGCCAGGTACAACAAATCAAATGCTACTATTGAACAGCCTATTTTAACATAATGCTACCATTTATGGTAGGTCAATCACATATCATCAATGGACAAGAATTGAATGCAGACAAGAAATGTTGCTTTCTGTCTGGAGCAGTTGTTTACTGTATACATCAGTTCAGTCTAGATAAAGTTAGCTGGCACAGTGTTAGCTGCCACAGTGTTAGCTGCCACAGTGTTAGCTGTCACAGTGCATTTCAAAGGAATATTGAACTTGAATGTCTTTTCTCTGACAGTCTTTGAGTTCTGTCAAAAATCTCAAAACTCGTTAGTTAACTACACTTAAGCTTAATTCAGTTCAAATTGTATTTTATAAACTATTCATTAGATAATACTCTATACAGAGGTTGGGCTAGGTGAGCCGTCGAAATCTCAGCTTTAGACAACCCGCAAGAGGTGCCGCTGAAAAGGCATCCTCCTGTTCCACATTTCCTGTAAATCCATCATCCAGGGCAGTCTCATAATCCATATAGATGGTGGCAAGAAGCTCCTTCATGACTAGTATTTGCGTGGTCAGCACGTTCTTCGATGAACCGGACATCAGGAATGGCGAAAGGATGGGACCTACCACGCATGGAGAAATGAGTGCCAATGCACACCCGCGCACCGCTTCCAAATGTCCAAATCCACTTCCGCATCTCCGCGACCGTGTTCTCGTCTGCTTCAAGCCACCTCCCCGGTCGCCATTTTTCTGGAGCGGGAAAGGGGACCGGATTAAAATGGAGGGCCCAGGCGGATGAGCTGACGACGGTGCCGCCCGGGACATCGAACTTGCCCGCGAGCCGGCAGCCAGAGTCCGGCACAACACGAGGAAAGGGACCAGGACAGGGTGCACGGGTTCGCATGGTCTCGGTAACGACCGCGTCAAGCACCGGTAAATTTGCAAGTCGATGGGCCAAGCTTCGATCGCTAGGTTCGGCCAGAGTGAGTAGCTCTTTCCGGAGCGCCCGCTGGCAGTCTGGATCTCGTGATAGTTCGTACATGGTATATGACAATAAAGTCCCCAGGCCGATGTGGGTTGCCGAAAGATGGTCGTCGCACTCCACAGCGATAAAGGACGCCACTTCATTACGTGACATATCGGGATTAGCGGCTTTGAAAGAATCGTAAAAATGGTCGTACAGACTCGCAGCAGAAGCAGACTTTGTGGGGTGCCTCCTGTGGGAATCTGTGATCACTCGGGTGAGCCATGCTTGCCATCGACCAGTGGCATCGGGATCGGGCTCTCCGTTGCCAATCAAGCTTGCAAAATAGCTAATCGGCCAGCCGAAGCTGGTTCGCACGGAAACTATTTTTGAAGCAACTGAGGCCAACGTTGCGAGGTCGTTCTCAAAGCCCGGGTCTCGTAGAGTATCAGTCGCGTTCTCCCTACCAAAGAGCCAGCCGGAGGCAACATCAAGAGTGCAGCATTTAGCTTGCTGGTAGACATCAACAGAGGTGCCAATTCTTGCCCACTCTGCTATTCCTTCTCCAAGGCGACGTGATACACGCGAGAGGACGCTGTCGAGGGTCTGAGAGTTGAGAATGTACGAATTGGAATAAGGGTAGGAAAGCATACGTTTGCGCTTCCTATGCTCGTCGTTACCTATCATAGTAACCATAAAACCGGTCCTGTCACTACTTGGTTAGACTTCGACTTGTGAAGTTACGAATGCTTCAGGAGAACTTACTTGTCGAACAATTCATGGTAGAAGGACGCATCCTTGTCGAACTTGCTGCTGTAGATTGTGCGAACCCCGTTATCGATGCAATTCACACTCACATCACGCGGCCCAATCCGAACGACCGGCCCGAGGCGACGATGGAGGTGAATTCGGCTACGATTCTCCATTTTCCGCCATCGGAGCGATAGCAACCATAGGCGTGAATAGGGAACGGAGAAATGAGCATTGGGGATATCTTTTAAGCCGGAACTGTGGTTGCGATGCATTGATGCAATGACCCATGATACTAGAAGAGCGAGGCCGACGACCACCGCAAGCATGTTTTGAGAAAGGTTGATTGGTTCTTATGAGAATAAAATATCCCGGCAGCGGATTCGTTCGGCAGGCAGCGAGCTATAGCGACTGGAAGCACCTTACGCAGTACTTATGCTTCCAGAGCTCTCGCTCGGGGGCCGATGTTAGTAAAGACATATGAAGCCGCTGCGTAATGTAATGCAGTTCCTCGTAGTTGTCTGCTTTGGGGAGGGCCCTCCCCCATGGCCCAGGTCAGCGTCAAATGCTTGTTTTTTTGGCGATGCGGGATGCGAGCAAATGCTTGAACCAACATGACCAATGGACATGCATGATGCAGTCTTGGACCCCGTCCCACCCAAACTGGAAGGCATTGCTTATCGCCATGAGAGAAACCATGCGTATGTGCCGCTCAACCAAAAGAGAACGTCCTCTAGTGGTGAGATGGTATGGACGATATCCAGTAGATCCCTGAGCCATGGCATTGCTTGCTTACAGGGGAGGACTTTGCCCCACGCCGTCTGACTGTGCCGTGCCATCCGTGCTATTGTCGGGCTGTGCCGCATGGAAATCGAAGGGATTTGAAATTGGCCAAGCAGGGTAAAAGCGTATCAAAAATCTGCATGAGTTCCCTGTTGCTGATAGCATGGTATTAGTTAGTGGTACATCTGCAGATCAAAAAAAGTTATACTGGTAGGCCTCAATAATAGTTCTGGATATCAGCACTTGAACGGCAGTTGGGGCAAGCAATGTGATTTCGACCAAGACTGAAGAGCAAAGATAATTCGACCATTTTTAAGCCCTTCCATCGATGGGTAAAGATTTGATGACTTCAGCGCCAGATATCATCGACTGGCCTTGTAAGCCACTCGTCTGATATAAGTTCGATAGATGTTGCTCTCGCCTCCTGATCCCAGGTCAACATTTTTCGTATGAAGCGCAAAAACTGATCCTTTTCTTCCCCTGGTTCAAAGGTCGTAACAAAGTCCTCTAAAGAATTCTTAGGTATTGGCACCTCGCATACCCATTTTCCTATTACTGCGCTTTAACCGGCCGGTTCACAAACGGGAGACTTTGCAAAGAGTTACGTACCCTCGGAATCAAAATACTCAGAGAATAGGGGACTTTGCTTAATAATTTCCAGTGGAGGAGGGCCCAGATATCCGATGTATTGTGCCAAAGCTAGGGGGAGCACATATTGGTTGTGGACATGATCTATCGGCTCAAAAAGATTTTTGCCCTCCATAAGGTAAAGTGTCTACACAAGAGTTTAGCGAACGTTGCGCAGGTATCACAAAAAGTCAGCTTGCATAAAGGCTGTTTGACTCACCATAACCCCAGTTGCGAATATATCAACCGGGTAAGCCCAAGGAAGCTTCAGTAATACCTCAGGAGCCCGATAGAGGTCGGACATCCACCAGTCCTGGTTCACGCGGCCTTCAATTAATCGTGTCTGGCCGAAATCCATGAGAATCGGGTTACCAGGTGGGGACAACCTAGTATTTCGAGATCTATATACAACAGCGTTTCCGTCTCCCGAAAGTATTGGAATGCTTGGGTCACGAGACTCCTCGTCCTCGATATCTCTGAATATACTGTCATCGCCGGCTTCCAACAATATATTTTTGGGGGAAATATCTAGTCTTTTCTTGTAAGCAGGGAGCTAAAAAAACAAGGGCATAGCGTTCGAGAAGTTACCTGTGTGTGCAACGCCACAGTTTACATGGAGCCAATTCAGCGAAAAGAGCAAGTAGTGTATCAGTCCTTTGACCATAACCTTCGGCATTTTCGCTTCAGAAAATAACTGCTGTAAGTCGAAGGCAGTCGGGCCTTGTGGTTTGCACACAATACAATAATGGCGGCCAGATGAGCGGCTAATCTGGAAAATATCATTTGCAAGACGTGTAAAATCCAGGCCCGGGTGGTCTATTTCGGCAATCTTCCCCATGCGGCGGAGCATGTTGACTTCGTTGGTGACGGGCGAGGTCTTAGCATCGTCGACCTGTATAGAAATCTTCAGGGAGGCGTATGCTTTCGCCCTATGTTGAATACTAGGTTAGCAACAGAGGTTCAAAATAGACGCGAGAGTTGATATTCACCGCTCGTCCCACGCCAGCCAAACGGTAGAGTAAGCGCCATAGCCAAGCTTCGCAATCACTCGGTAGCGACCTTTGAACGTTTGACCAATCTTGACGGGGAAGAATGTTTTTGAATGAGAAAATGGTAGCGTCTGTTCCTCAATCGTGTCATTTTGCGACATCCTACGATCCCATTGACGCGATGCTATGAGTCTTGGAGCACAGCGCCGGAATGACAAGGCCCCTAGGCGTCTCCCAAAAATGAGCATCCTTTGGGTTGAAAACTGGCGGGAGATTGATGCGTGTTGGTGATATGGCGCTTGGCCTTGTCGTCTCATCAAGGCAGCTAGTTAGTTAACTAACCTAAAATATTCAAACATATTCATGATTTCTCCTGTCCTCCATACGAGGAACGCACTTCGCCCCATGTCCCCGCCGGTTTGTTCAAGCAAGGAAAATTAACTACATGAAAGTGTCTGTCGATTACCACCCGTACGCCGGGATTTGACGACGCTGGATCTGAAGCAATCTAGTTACAAGACATGGTAACCACAGACCAGAGATCAAAGCGGAGATCAAGGGCCTGCCTCGGCAACAATTGTCACCCAGTTAACTATGGCGCTTTCGTTTGTCCAGGCCTCACTGACTATCCCTCTGTTGTTCCGCGATTACTCCGAACTCGTTATCGGACGAGAATCGCGCCCTCGACCCGCAAAGCACCAGACAAGCGAAGCGCGCTACGTTCAAGATCTTGGACCAGCAGACTACAAAAGCAGCCATGGTATCCCGCTTGCCGCGCCGTTCGTTCATGACCGTCGACAATATCATCGATTGATTCCTGCGTGGAAGGAGGAATAATGGGTAAATCGCGCGTGGCTCTCGTCACCGGGGCAGGTAGTTAACCAACTCATGACGCCGACGACATTCAGAGCACATGTTTGCTGATACGTTTTCCTCAGCAAGCGGCATTGGCCTTGCGCTCTCAAAAGATCTGCTCTCGAAAGGCTGGAGAGTGTGCATGTGTGATATCAAGCAATCACCCGCTGCCTCTGGACTGGGTGAAAACGCCATCTTTGTTGCCGCCGACGTGACCGATTACGACTCCCTTGCCGCTGCGTTTGTTGCCGCGTGGACCAAGTGGAACGCAATCCACTTTGGTACGAGGCTTCACGTCGCCCCTTTGACGAAACAATATTGCTGACACTTTGTTACTTGACACGGACAAGTCGCCGCCAACGCAGGGATCGCCGACAATGTCCAAATCGCTGCACCCTATGCTTCAGCCACGCCTGACAGCCCACCGCCAAAGCCCGACCTCAAGACCATCGATGTCGACCTAACGGGCGTTCTCTACACGATCTACCTTTCTCTTCATTACTTCCGGCAAAACCCCTGCCCCGGGGGCAAGATCGTGGCTACCTCCAGCTCCGGAGGCCTCTATCCGCTCCCATACCTACCGCTATACACCACGGCGAAGCATGCTGTAAGCACAGCGATTCCAATCAGCGCATGGGGCCGAGCCGCTAACTTTCCCAGATTGTCGGGCTCGTCCGCGCTCTCGCGCCAGGCCTCCAAGCCGAAAACATCACGATCAACTGCCTCTGCCCAGGACTTGTCGCCACAGGTCTATCCGACCCGCTAATAGGCGTAGTCGCAGACGAATACCTCACCCCGGTGTCCACTCTACTCGATGCAGTTTCTCGATTCCTCACCGGAGACGAGACAGGGCGTACTGCAGAACTGAGTGTTCGCAACCTCTATATGCGAGAGCCTCCCGAATTCCCGGATAAATGGCAGAAATGGGCCGTGGAAAACCTGGGAACCTTGCGCGAGCAGACGGAGCCAAAGGAATCCACATGAGATACACTAAACGCATGGTAATTGACAACCCTATGTCCTAGGTCCAGGGAGAGCCGGTTCAAAATCACCAACAGCCTTGCCGGGCGTCGTGTACAGTAACTCCATAAACCAATGTCAGTTGTCCGTCGTCGAAATTTGTCCACATCCCTCGCTTTCTCACGCCTGTTGCCCTTCTTCTCATGCTCCATAGCCAGCTGATAAAACGGAGAGGTCATGTGTCCGGGGGCCTGTGTTTGCCATTCGAAATCCGTGGGAGACTCCTGTGCGCTTCTCCATGATGCAGAGGCCAGGACTATAAAGGGCGAGTGTTTGCACCATGGCCAGCTGCATAATGCATCATGCTGGATGTAACTGTTGATTTGTGTCCTCAACAACCGGGCAATGACACGGCCTATCCAGTGACCGCGGCTAACTTGTTAAGTGATGAGTTTTGCATCCTCTAGAGACTTCAAGGAAGTAAGACTATGTAAAGCTGCACAGGTCAAAGCACTTACCTTGTAAAAAGGTTGGCAGTATAATCCAAGCATCAGGTCACAGGAGAGTAAAGCAATGAGAAAACCAATTGCCAAACGCTACTTAACCCCTAACTCTCTGTGATATCGCTTGCAGATCTCTGCGAGCAAGAATGTGTCATTCATAGCTCAGTGACCCGCGCAAGGCTAACTAGTTAGCCATCAGATGGAATGGTAGCATCACGAAGGCTCCGCGAGAATACCATGAGCCAGCGTATCGCAAACTCGATATCGTCCTAGAGTCAACTACCGTATTGCCCGGAAACAGGCACAGGATCAATTCATCAGATTCAACTTGATGTTATGCAATCAGAGCTGTGATGAGTTGTGATATCTGGCGATTTTCTAACCAAACATCGACATGCCTGTCTATCAGTCGATTTCCTCATGATCCTGAAATGGCCAACGTTTTATACTTCGACGATCCTCCTCATCTTCTGCTGCATCCACCCACTCTTGCTTTAGTGTCTTGTTCAATGCGACGACCTTGTCATACGACTCACTCCTCACCCACCCATCCTGCCCAAGGTCGTCCAAAAGTTCTCGGTAGTGTTCTGCCACAACATTCATTTTGAACCATAATTCTTCAACTTTGTAGAATTCCTCTTCTTCCTTGCTGGTAAAACTGACGGGGCATTTGATAGATCCTGCTCTTGGCCCAAGAATCATATCCCAATTCTGAACCACTCTGAGAATTGCACCTTTCAATGTGATGATGTTTCCGGTCCACTGTCGGCCAGCTCTATCAACCAAGTGCTGCCGGGGCATCAGAAGGGGATATTGAATGGCATTGAGATGGGCTTTGTTATCTCTCCCATTGAAAATCATGTAGAGCCAAAATAACATTCGGCGCCGGTGAAGCTCATCGGCCTGCGATTTCTCATCAGGACTAAGGTTGTCAGAATCTGGTGGAAGTGATGGCTGTGAAAAGTCCTTTGGTGGCTCAGGGTCTGGGTTATCAAACATGGGCGGGTTTCCCGCCACTAATAGCAGTGGAAGGGCACAGGTATACTGCCAATCGATGAGACACGAGATCTCACATGAGCTTGATACATAGATATTAGCAGGATTCAAATCTACTGAAAGTTAGCAAATATTGGAGAAGCATGTTTCAGGGTGGTCCTTACCTGGGTGTCGCAATGTTGGTTTGTTGAGAGGATCCTGGGGGGGTTCTGGCAATATGTATGGAGCGAGTTCCAAATACTTCTTCAGGAGGTCTATATATATCTCATGCGATATCTCCCCAGGCAAGATTGTGTTCTGGGGAAAGTTATTTTCCAGAGGCCTCCCGAATCTCTGTGTCCACTCCAGTTCTCGCTGACCGACGTCATGTAGATACTGACGATGATCGCTCCCTAGAAGTGGTCAGTTTGCTAGCTCATGACTTTGACCTTTGGCAGGAATACCAACACGGCCCCCTCTTTAGATCAAGATCCGCATGTCTACCCCGCCAGAACATATAATCTGAGAGCGGTCCCATGCAAAATCGATTCGCAAAGCCTTTGTCCTCAGTCTGGGGGGTGGGAAGGCCAATCCGAAGGTCTTCTGGCAGACTGTCTTTATAGAAAAGGCTTCCATAGGCGCTGAGAGGGAGAGAAAAGAGTTTCCGTTCAAGCTCAACATAGCTGGTCACCAAATTGACTCTCTCTTTAGGGGATAGTTCAAACCAGCAATCTGTCAGCAGCTTTCCTGGGGCTTTTTCCATGATGATATACTCTGTCCCGACGTTGTTGCTGGCATCTGATGACCAGGCATAGACTCGAGGAACAGGAATGCCGTTTAACCGGAGATAGTCCATTGTCGCGACTTTACTTTCCGTGGTGAGCTTTCGTGGTACCGTCAGCAGGTATGGGATTTTCACAATGACCTCAAACCCGTCGTTCATTGTCAGGACGAAGACGCGGTTAAATCCACCTTCAGCCAGCTTCTTCATACTTGAAACGGACTGCCGGTCCACACATCTCGCAGCAATGGCTTTCAACGCGTCAATATTGAATTCAATGTGTCGTTCCGCAAGACGGAGTTTCTCGTTGTATAGGTACCGGCCGGACGTATAGGTGAACAGTTCTCGATCGGCAGCCATTGTGGAATTGCTTCGTTGGAACGAGAAGAACCTCCGAGGTAGGATAACTTGTTTCGGAGGCACGAGTGGGAAAATCGCATGAAGGAACTCGACGCAGCGTGGAAAACACAAGCCCGCTCGTCCCCTGGCTGTGAGCATAACTCCAAGAGAGGTCTGATGGAAGTAAAAGACCGCGCTGTGCTCTGCAGAATGTGATTAGCTAGCCAATGTAAGTCAAGTAAGCTGAGAGAGTCTTTTTATGAGGGAGGCATAGTTTCAATAACATTATCCTGTGTATTTTGTACTCTTATTGAGTAGAAGCTGCAGATATCAAGTTACAAAAAAAGCCATGTCGCTCCAGAGCGAGTGAGTCAAGACCATTGACGAAACTAGCTTTTCTCCATGGAAACCACACATCCAACATAGTTACTTTAATATAACTATCCACTGGCTCTGGGGGGAACAGTTTATGATGATCCATCCGGAGTGATTGTTGAATTTGCAAGCCATCGCCGGGTCCCCGACAACTCCCAGTTCTTCCAATGGAGCTGGCAGCCGCACTGCCTCCGAAACGTCGTTCCCGCTCTGGCTGCACGGAATGCCGCCAGCGACACCGCAAGTGTGACGAGCGAAAACCCGTGTGCTCGGGCTGTCTGCGCTCAGGAAGGCAATGCACATACGCCCTGCATCTCTCCTGGGGTGGCCGGCCTTTTTCCAAGTCACGGTTTGGCGACTGTCTTCGCCGCGACCCAGGGCTGGTGCAAGTACCGATTGCGCCCACCTCCAGTACGGATCTCCATTCGATTCCCCGAGCATCGCGATCTAACCCATGAGCGTATAGGTACCAGGGTAGCTTTTGTATATGGCTCCAGTGAATTCCCTGCGGCTGCTCCGCCGAGGCAACTACCAAACGGCATGTACATACATTCATCCCTCCTTTGTTGCCATCACCTTGGATTACCTCGTCTCAAGAGCATTAGAGGCCACTAACTGCTTAAAAGACTCGGATGTGACCTTGCGAGCTGAACTCGGGCCAGAAGCGGAACGTTCGCCGTCTGCAGTACACACTCAAGCAGCATATGCCGCACCGCCCAATGACTTCGCCTCCGGCCAAATCCCACGAAACCCTTACGAGCTACAATGGATGGCCCCGGCACATCGATTCCTGCTCGACCACTTCATCTCCTGCACCACCTTATCTCTGTCGTGTCACCCAGTGATCCAGCGTACCTATTGCGCAGTCTTGGTGCCCATGGCTCTCCAAACTCCTCATCTATTAGTCGCCCTGTTAAGCCTGGCGGCAACCCATCGTATATCCCTCGGCCTCAACCAGAGTGCAGCCCAACTCGATTGGTTTCGGTTTGCAAGCTTGCGGCAGCTACAATCAGCTCTGGCTACGCCGAGGAGGCAGTTGAACGATGCAGTCATAGCTACCACTCTGACATTATGCACGACGGATATTGTCTCGGACGGCAAAAGTCCTGGCTCGTGGAGGGCACATCTACACGGGACGGCAGCCATAATAGCAGAGCATTTGCAAAATACCAGGGACTCTGGGACGTCCTTGTCAGAGGCTACACTCTTGCTCTGGCGATGGTATTCGTCAATCGAAGCGGTCACTTTGTTAAGTGGGAACCTAGTGATTTCCCCCGGCTCGCGAACCGTCCTTCAGCTTCGGCGGTTGATAGGCAAAGACGAGATCGATGACCTCACCGGATTTTCCACAGCCCTCATCCCCATTTTTGGGGATATCAATCTGCTGGCTGTTGAATCCGGCCTGAGCAACGACCAGCAACTTGGGTCGACCATTGACGACATATCTAGCATTCCTAATGACATAATTCGAGAACGATGCTTCCGGATTATCGAAAACATCAGTTCGATGCTTGCCTCGCATGAACCACGATTTCGCGCAACCATCGATGCCTCCCTATCCACCCTCCACCGAATCGACTTTGCGGCGGTCGACGAAACATACCACCATGTCGCTCTCTTGCATCTCTATCGTAGGGTTTTGAACCTCCCCTCATCCAGCCCTTTGGTTCAGAAATCTGTGCAGCAAATCATCCACCGAGTCTCTGCCATCCATTTCCTACATGAGCCGTGCCCCGGCGTCGCGGTTCTACAGCCTCTGTTTGCGGCTGGATGCGAGGCCTGCAATGCTGCCGATCGCGATAATCTCCGAACCCTACTTTCGAGAATTGAGTCACAGTATGGAATGGGGAATGTCAAGAGTGCCAGGGCGTTTCTAGAGGATCTGTGGGTCATGAGAGATGAAAGCGGGGATTTGGAGGGGAGGATGAGGTGGGATAAGGTCATGGGTACGTCTTAAATCGATTTGCCTTTTTCATTGAGCGGAGTATCTAACGCCGATGGTACGTTAAGTTGAGAAAGGGCTCGATATCCTTCCATATTGATTGCCGTTGTCGCGTCACTAGATCACATATCCGCCGTCTGTGATGGAGATATATCAACGCGGGAAATAACAACGACGTCAAAGGTAAGAATTGCGACTCCTCGCTTACCACGAAAATGATGTTCCTGTGACCACCTTGACTGAATTAGACTAACCTAGGTTTCTATCTGATGCCATCTTGCTGGGCTCGAAAACCCGGTCTAGAGCAAGATTGAAAAGGAGTGGCCTAAAGAAGTGCACAGAAGGACGAATAATGAATGACCAGCAAAAGTCCCATGAAATCAGGCTAATGATACAAGTCTCGAGTCCTCAAGAAGCGCCGATTCGCCGATGCGCTCCTCTCGTGATGCTTGTCGCACGCTATGGATCAAAAACAAGAAAAAAAGGAAAAAGCCATGCGACGGTTCCAACCAGAGGCCGATCGCTGTGCGATCCTGTTAACACGTCTATTCAAAAAGCAATAGAAAGGGAGAATGATGATAGAAAAACAGCGGCAGGAGAATGGAAGATAACGGACCCCAACGCAGGCTTCAGATGGCAGCCCTGGGAAGTTGGCCATTAGTGCGATGAAGTAACAAAAAATACGCTTGCCACGAGCGTCTCGCGCATCGGTTATAGAGAGGCACGATCAATGAATTCGTAGTCGTCGTCATCGGCGATATAGCCACTCTCAGCGGATTCCCGATCGTCAATGAGCTCATATTCCCTGACTAACTTCTCCGTTTCCTTGATTTCAAATCGCTCGACGGCCTTATTCAAGGCGGCGGAGAGAATATGTTCGCCTGCTCGAGGCCCAGAGCGAGCATCGAAGGAGTAAAAGACATCTATCCTTTCGGTTGGCGACCCTAGATCAGGGCCCTGATCGCTGAGAGCGTCTGAAGAATCGCTGGCCTCTCGAAGGCCCTCTTCGGAGACCAAACGAAAATAGGACTGGGGATTCTTAAAGGTGAGGCACTGGCGCTTAACCCCGTAGGCATGAGCACGTCGATCTTGCTTGCTATCGCAAAGAAGGCAGGCTTAGCTCGGGGAACATGTTCTCAGGCGACTAGAGGGTGAAGAAAACCAAACTTACCATTTCGGTAAAAGAACGGCCGGGCGTACCGTTGCAGCTGCTCCGGGTCGGCAGCCATGCGCCCATTTGGCCTTGTGGTCGTGGTCGCGCTTGGACTGAATGGCATTATGGCGGATGTCGGTCGTGGGCAGAACAAAGGCTGAGCCGGACATGGTGGATATACAGGTAGTGGATGGGTTCAAAACGAGCGAGAGCGGAATCGACACAAAGGTCTTGATTTCGACCGAGTGATGGAAGAAGGCGAAAGACGAGAAGAGAAATGTTCTGTTTGTACAGGGCGGCAGTCACGACAGGTCAGCAGCTCGAGGGGGGGTGATGCCCTGGGTTGATGCTTTGGGTTTAAGTTTAAGGGGAGAGGAGCCGAGTCAGGGCAGGAGGCAGTGTATAGATATATATACATACATGTGCACATACGAGACGACTCTTTCCCCCAGAGGCTGTGAATCGAAGAGTGAGTCAGTCAGTTGATAGAAGAGGCCGGAGAGCCCCAGACGAATCCGCCGAGTCACCGGAACCTTCAGTTCCTGTTTGTCTCGGCCTATCAACCAGGCCCATGCTCAGCTGCCGTCGCCATCAGTCACTCGCCCAAGGTTTCGAGGTTGAAAGGGCCGGGCGTGGTACCTCCTCGCCTGCGCTGAACCACGCTGGAGCCCAAGTACCACTCCACATGCAACAGGTCCTCCTCGGGGAAGTGCGTCATCGCCAGTGAACTCTGTTGGTTGAGTCATCAGCCCCACTCGGCGGCAGAAAGCAGTTTAGCGCGGTGGAGCATTGCCGAGCGGGTCTAGCCTCATTGGGCGGAGGCGGGGCGGTGCCTTGCTGAGTCATCCCTGTATTGAGCAGTGTAATTTACAGGATAATCACATCAACATGACGACACACAAACAACATCCTTGAGGCCTGGTTTATTCTCTGCAAACATGAAGGTGAGATATCAAGGTCAACAAGGCGTCTGCCAGTTCCATGGCAGCACCTGGCCAACAATCCTGGCGGCACCAGTTTCTCAATGGAACTGCCTGCCTCCTCTTCCCCCAGATCGCGGGCGCAAAACTCGTGGAAACTCGTGGCTGGTTCTCCATTCAACCTTCGACATGCCATACATTTGCATCCGCAGAACGCGACTCCCGGATCTCATTGGGCATGACTATCAGCTGCCGGGCGCAAATCCATCGCACGAATAATCGCTTGGTGACTTTCCCATTCCCACACAAGGAGAATCCCAAATCGCCCAACCACCCCAGAGAACATGTTCGCAGATCCCATTCTTGCGCAGTTCACATTACAGCATGCATGCATGTTGCCCAACATATGTGAGAAGGCAGTTCAATCCACTAATAACTACTCTGTACAGAGTACGGAGCAGAATACTTACTGATGAACTTCCCAAGGTGTAGGCTCTCGGACAATCTGGTCAGGTCCTATCAAAACTGTCTATCATCGCAGAAGCACAGATCTGTGGGGGGGGGAATTTATGGCAATCATCGGTCATTCTCAGACCGTCCTCTTCAATCACATTTCTCTTTGCGAACACATCTGCTTGCTCAAATACTGCAACAAGATTTCCATTTCCCTCTTGGCCTTCGCTTCATTTTTCCCCGCCAGTCCCGGTGCTCCCCCAAAAGTATCCCAAACCCCAAGGTTGAAGTTCTGTAAGCCCGTCACTTTGATGAGCTGGCGGTGCCATTCTGCCGTGGTGGCACGAGACAAGTACTGCCCCAAATAGTCCATCACAAATCCCAGATCCCGTAAGCCAGTCATTTGGCTGCCCACGATGTCCCAAAATTCTTGAAAATGTCCGTCCATAAAGACAGTATAGTGTTCGTACTCGGCGTACCTGGGGTCGTCTGGAGGGACAGGCGCCATAGTCAAACATGGCAGGGCAATCCAGCACGCCCGTAGTTTTCTCACACGGGCGAGGTGGTGTGGTGGAACCGAGCCCGCAAAGAGCACCCACGTCACCATGGAGTTGGTCTGGAAAGCCACGGACTCGAACAAAACGGCAGAGGCTTCGTGGTATACCTGCCTACACACGTAGAAGAGGGCCGTGTTGATTGGAGATTGTGCGCGCTCCCCTCGAGTCTCCGCCGCCAGATGGGAATAGGCAAAAGGGCGCGTGCAGCAGTCCGACGTGGGCGAGGGATCCGTTTGCGAGCAGCGAAAGCTGATGACTCGACCTCGATCGCTGGCAAGATGGATGGCTTGGGGACCGAAAACCCAGCGGTAGATGAGATCGCGGATTTCGGCCGGGAGTGACAGGAAGGGAAAAGGGGGGGCATCAGGCTTGCTCCTGTGATAGCTTTTGCTCTTCCTCAAGAGTCTGAATTTGTGAAGCATGCTTCCCATCGTGGGCCTTGATGTTGTGGAATTGGTTCAGCGTAATGGCACAACACGAAGACGGGGAGACAAGCGGGGGTCTACATACTCTGCAGTCTGAACGGAAATTTCACCTTTTCGCAATAACTACAGTATACACCAAGTGTGAAGTAATTTGGAGACTATTCAAGGGGATTCCAGAGTGGGAACGGTTGGTGTTGGTACATCGCATTCTTTGGAGTTACAGTCTGCTATCAAATAGTTCAAGCTATGGGTCAAAATTAACGGCAACCAACTGCCCGCCAGGCCTTGATGCAGCGGAACCCATAGCGATTCCCCCCATTCAACTGGGAAATCGCGAATTTATCGACTTTTGCAGGGCTTTGAGGATCAACTCTCTTTTTCCCCGTAGATAGCCAACTATCAGTTGCATCTGCTTCTTCATTCCTCCCCGCCTAGCTCTTCATCACTCGTCTGCTCCTCCGGCAAACGATCAGGAAACCACCCAAATACGCCAAAGTCGACATGGAACTCGCCCATCGCATCCGCCGTGACTGTCACTCCCTCCCCTTCGAGCGCTGCTGCCTGCCGTGCCGCCGAACCTGGCCCTCTAGCAATCGCCAACGCGAGTCAGAAAAGACGACCGCCTAGGAGAGAAGCAACTGGGATTGGGTTCATACCGGTGGGAGATCTTTCCGCTCGCGTTGATCACCCTCTGCCAGGGCACATTGCCATCGTGGTAGAACGCCACCGTCCCGTCGTCAGTGGTCTCCCGGGGAAGATATTTCAAACACATGCCGACCTGGCGGGATCTTTGGGCTTCATCGCGTCCAGCCGTCAGAGCCAAACTGCAACGTCCACGGGACACGGCACTCACGCTCTCCAAGTAAACGAGCGATATGTCCATAGGTAGTCACTTTTCCATGGGGAATCTGTTGGATCGCGGCATACACGGCGTTGAACCACCATTCTGCTTCGTCGCTGCGGGCCATCTCGAGGCCCTCCAGCCGTTGAAAGGCAGTGTCTCAGCCCATCAGCGCGAACTGACGCAGGCACACCGATTCTAGTTGAAGTCTAGTTAACTAACCAACGAGACTGTGCATGCCAGCCATCCTACAAATGAATATCTCAACAACGGCGCATTCGATATTCGCAAAATGAGGATGAGCCAATATTGCTCTTCGGACAAGCCATAATCGCCGTGGCATCGAATCAATTCGACACACCAAACCGCCCCAGCATGGACCTCGGCATCGCCAGAAAGCCGTCACCATCGCCATCTAAAGATCCCGAGGAATAGCCCATCCAAACTCCAAACCTCAAATTCGGCAACGGTTCCAAAGCTCGCTGAAAATGACCCCGCAAGCCAAATAGCGTGGCTCGTCCAGAGCGATTTGACCGAGCTGGTCTCTGGTCCTATTTGAGCCCTGGCTTTTGCCCTAGCATTTCCACGTAGGAATCACGACCAACTGGAATTCACAGCTTTCCACGAATAACCAACTTCATATCTCCACAATGGCGACAGCAGAACAGGAAGTCAAACTCCAAAACTTCGATAGCATCTTCTCTCTTGAGGGGAAGGTTGCAGTCGTCACTGGCGGGTCTCGAGGTTTGGGATTACATTCCGCGAGCGGGTTCGTTGCAATTCTTCGTCTTTGACCGTTCCATGCTAAGAAGGCATCTCCTCTAGTCTCCTCCAAGCCGGCTGCTCTAAAGTATACATCACCTCGCGCAAAGCCAAAGCCTGCGATGAAGCCGTCGCCGCTCTGAACGCCTTACCCAACAAGCGCCCAGGTGCTCGCGCCATCTCGATCCCAGCAGACAGCTCCAAATTGTCCGAAATCGAGCGGCTGGTCGCAGAAGTCAAGAAAACCACGGACCATGTCGATATCCTATTTGCCAACGCAGGAGCAACCTGGGGAGAGAAATTTGACACACATCCTGAGCCAGCTTTCCAGAAAGTCATGGATCTAAATGTCAAGAGCATCTTCTACACTGTTCAAAAGTAAAGGCCATCGTAGCTCTGGCTATCTGATCGCGATTCATGGTCTAACTGATCTACAGATTTGCCCCTCTCCTCGAAGCCCGTGGCACCGTCGAAGATCCATCCCGTGTCCTCATAACCGCTTCCGTTGCCGGAATAATGGTCGGGAACATGGGCAACAACGCAACCTTCAGTTACTCTGTTTCCAAGGCCGCCGCCATCCACCTGGCCAAAAACCTTGCCGTTGCGCTTGGGCCGCGCCATATCATCACCAACGCCATCGCGCCAGGATTCTACCCATCGAAAATGGCGAATGAGCTGATGAAGATCCAGGGGGGAGTGAAAAAGCTGTCAGAACACAACCCTAACAAAAGACTAGGCGAGCCAGAAGATATTGCTGGTCTGGTAGTCTTTTTGTCAAGTCGAGCTGCTGGCCATATCAACGGAGCTTGCATTACGACTGATGGTGGTGCTCATTTGAAGGGGCGGATGTAAGTAGTTATGGGATGATTGGCCGTGTTGCTTGGGAGGTATTATATATACTAGACATCATTCCAAGGTGATTTAATAGAAGGAATTATCTTTGTTTTCTCAGTCACACATCCATATGTATATGTATAGATATGCATATGTGAACACCGGTATAAGTATCTAATTCCTTTCGGCCCTGAAATACAGCCTGCATGCAATCCAGTCCAGCTTCTAAGCCTCAAACCTTACAACTTTGCCGGAGTCGATTTCGACTGATTCAACGCCCGATCGATTAGATCCATCGCATGGTACAAGTCGTAATCGTGTAACTTAGGTGTGAGGACCTGAATGCTAAGTGGTGAATCCAGGTAAACCCGTCTGTCCACGGTATTGGAACTCCCTGGGAGAGACTATCAGCAAGATACAAGTACTAGTAGCAACGAGACGGAGGAGCAACATACACAATTCTCTATTCCGCTTATCCCAGCTTGTCAGGACCTTGGAGCCCATCTCTTCACCCAGCTCAAGGTCTGCCTCGGTGAAATTTCGCACAGGCATCGAGCCAGCAGGATAATCCAAGAGAACCCAACTCGAGGTGTATCCAACAGCATTGTAGCGATCCAGCTCCGGGACCGGGTGCGGAGCCACTGGATGGATGATTGCGTCGATTTTCCTCGACGGATTTGATCCCACTGTCCACATCTGCATCATGGCACGCTCTATCTCGGTTCTCCTTGCCTGAAGCTCAAACAGTTGTCCCAGTGACTTCGGTTCCCCTCGTTTGGTTTTGCCCTGGAGCCAGGGAATGAGAGTTTCACCGGTACTCTCCAGGAGGTCCATCATACGATGCCCACCGTCAACAGACATTAAAGCATTGGCCAAACTTTGGCAATCCCCCAGTGCTTTGGGGACCGGGACCTCAACAACCTCGACGCCCTCAAAGCCATGGAGCTTCCGGGCAACTTCGTTGAGTAATTTGGCGATCGGGGGAAGAGGGGGAATGCGGCCATCCGAATGCAGGATTCCAATAGTAAACTTCCGTGGAGCGTCTTCTGCCAAAACAGGGGTTTCGCTTGCCCATCGGCCAGGGATACAATCAGTGCCCCAGAGTTCGGATCGAGGGACGATTTCCTTCATCAGGGCGTCGATGTCGGACATGGATCGTGCAATTGGCCCGGCACAAGCTTGAATAGACGTCCTGCCTCTCCCCGGCACGCTCGCGCTATCTTGCCCACCAAAAGGAACTCGTCCGACACTTGGCTTGAATCCATATACCCCGTTGCACATTGCTGGGATACGAATACTGCCGCCAATGTCAGTGCCAATGCCAATCATCGAGCCTCGCATGGCAACAAGTGCGCCCTCGCCACCTGAGCTACCTCCTGGTGTAAGTTTACGGTTCAATGGGTTGAGAGTGCGGCCAAATAGATTGTTGACACTATCCAAGGCGGCCACCGTTTGGGGAACGTTGGTCTTTGCAATGATGACCGCGCCCAACGCGTGTAAAAGGTTCACCAGGGGCGCATTTTCCTTCGCCGGCTTGAACGCAAGGCTTGCTAAGCCGGTAGTGGAATCAACGCCCTGGACGTCGAATGTATCCTTGATTGAAAGTACGAGGCCGTGCAACGGGCCATACAGTTTCCCCGTTCGTTGGAAATGAGTATCAAGAAAGGAGGCACGCTTGAGAGCGCTATCGAAAAGGGGCTCTGCGAGGCACCGAGTGAGCTGGTGGGCAATGGCTGCACGCTATGAATTCGAATGTGTTAGCCGCTGTTCTTTTCTGGGAACCACATTGTCTTCAGAGTATCAAGGGACGAATACTCACCTTGCAAAACGCCTCGCACACCTCGGTCACTGTCAATCTGCCCGATGCTACTTCGCCCAACAGCCCCTTGATGTCCCAACCTTCCGTGATCTCCAACTGCTTCGCGCTCAGCAGTCCACATCGACGCGGGATATCCATCACATTAACGGCATCGTACTTGGTGTTTGTCACGGATTCCTCGGGGGAATGCATCCCTGCAGGAATCCAGTGCACTGGAAGCCGCCATTCCTTTGGGATTTTGGAATCAAGCTGTGCGAGCTTTTGACGGGCGATTTCCTTGAACGCAGGCTCTGTGGACATGGCTTTCGTAGTTCCGGTAAATTAGTAGGCTCGAGTAGTTAGTTACCGCCTGTAGGATGTCCCGACACGTAGCTTTGGAGTAGTTACCTGGCTAACAATAATATGTATGATCACGATCAGATCTCGACCACTTCTTCCAGAGGCTCCCAACGATTGCTCCGGCGCAACGATCCATCAAGTATATAAACGAGTCGGACGCGGATCGCTTTCTCCATCTTTGGCGGGTCTCCCGTTGCGGGGAAGCCGTGCGGAAAAATGAGCAGCATTGTGTTCGCCGAGGTGTTTCGCTGCCGGCTGTCAATCTGGTCGCTTACTTCCAAGGCCACTAGTTATGGAAGGATGTGAGCCTGTGGCATTAATAGCACCTCGTTTGGCTGGAACCGCATTAACGTTCAACATGGAATGATATCAATTGCACAGCGGTTCGAAGAATGTTAACCGTCTAGTGAGCTATTACTATTCTACAGGGGAGGAGAGATATCCGTCCTAATATCTCGAAATATCCCGCCCAAACGCCCAGTTCGAGAACCAGGAGTATAAGATCCGCAGGCGGTTCCTCCAGCTCAGGCTCATGCTCAGGTATGCTGCTTTCCAGATCAACCACGCCGTCCGACCTTTGATGCCCGCGGGCAGGTGGTCGCTGGTTGGCATCTGCATCAGAGCCTTTGAGCTCCCAAGATAGGCGATCATACCCAGGTTTTTGAACTGGAACCCGGAGACCCGGTTAATATCTCCTTTGTTGAGCCGCTTTGCAAGCCATGCAGATTCCTGGTTCGTAGCCTGGGCTGTCGCTGGAGGCGATCCGCTTTCTAACATGCAGTTATCCCCCAAAGCAAATACATCTTGCATCGTGGCCGTTCTCCCGTCCTCAGATTGGAGTTGGACGCGCAGGTGGTCGTCCACTAAAAGTGCTCCGATTTTAGGAGCTTTCTTTATTGCCCACGAAGTACACTGCACGTCATTCGAAGGGGTTGGGCCAGGCTGGATCACCGCTGAAGACGCCGGGAATTGCTCGAGGCTCCCCAGCGAGTCATTGACGAACTTGTTCATTTCGTTTCCCGTCGCCCAGACACATATTCCAACGCCTTCTTCCCCATCTTCTTTGGTTTTCAGTGTAAGGCACCCCTTTGGGTCCATGTCGGGAAGCTGTTCTTGACCCGGTGCTCCCCATCGAAGCTCTTCAATATGGTGATCGGTCTTCACGTCCACACCTTCCCTGCGCATAACATTCATCGCATATTCTGATAATGTCTGATCAAACATGTTCAACACCTGTGGAGCCACGTCATATAGGCTTATTCGGACTTGGTCTTTAAGCGTTGGGTATATCTTAAACATATCCTCGTGAATGAAATCGCACACTGCGGCAGCCAATTCTGTCCCCGTCGGGCCACCACCAACGATGGCAAAATGCAACAGATACTTCTGCATCTCAGGGCTTGTCGTGGGCATGACGGCCAGCTCGAAACACTCCCGTATTCGCCTTTTCACCCGCCGCGCATCCCCTATATCTTTGAAAAACATGGCATTCTGTCTGACGCCTGGCGTGTTGAATGTACGACTAACGCAGCCCACAGCGATGACCAATTTATCGTACGGTACCTGAAAAACCTGGCCTGATTCCCACTTCCGTAGCTTCTCCTTTCCCCGGAGATTGCCGATTTCTGGCCCTTGGTCAGCCCCCCTTTCGGCCTGTTCCACGCGCGGCGATTCAGTGACTCCGCTCTTGACAACACTTGCCTCCACCGTAACTACCTTCTTGTGAAAATCGACGCTCCTCGCTGCGGCTTGGATATAATGCACTTGGCTCTTGCGGTCACGAACCGGCTCCACGATCTCGGAGAAGTTGAGAGAGCCAACAGCGGCATCTGTCATCAACGGAGTGAAAACGAAATAGGAGCGAGGGGAAACGACGGTCCGGTAGAACTTCGAAGGCGATAGTCGACGCGAGAGCGTATATCCTCCCCAGCCGGAACCCAGGATCACGACCCGTTCCCGATCGGGAGGAATGTCGGGGTCCGCAGTTGATCCTTTGGAGGTAACGTGAGGCCTACAAGGAGCATGTCTGGCAAGTCCGAGTTTCGAACGAGTGAGAGTTGATACACAACCAGCCTTCAATGTACCACCAGCCCGCAGATTTCCGCTTCGAGTCGATGCACGCCAACACATCTCCATGCTCGAAATCCGAACTCGTAGCTCCGTAAGCTAGGTGAGTGTAGCAAAGTCGCACGATCGAAAACGTAGGGTTGGTCGGGGCCTGCAAAGCAAGCCGATGATGTCCAGCTTCTCAAACAAGCTCACGGCGGATGGCAATAGCCTGCCTCAGAGGCCAACCATGACCTCATCGAAAACCGCAGCTCTCGCTCCGAGGTGGCCTCCGGCAAGTAGCTCACTCGTAGGCCGTCGAGAGATATATTCGCCTTGCATGTCCGTGGTCCACAACTTAGTTATCGTTGGCGCTTCCGTTGAGTCCGTCTACGGTGGCGATGACGTCAAAGGAGACAGCGGCGAGCTGCCCAGGAACCGCTCCGTCACTATAGAGTCAAATGTCGCTGTTAGTCTGGGTCTGGCCTCTAGAAAAGCCGGTCAGGTCTTTGTACCGTGTGTCTTACCGCGTCCACTTGCTTCCGATCGAACTGGCCGCAACCGTCGTAGAGGCCGGATCAGGACGTCGAAAAGCTTGGGCAGCATCTCGCCAGGCGATCGCACAGGAATTGTCCCTGCGATTGATGTAACTAGTGAAGAGCTACTACATCCCATCAGAGCATTTCGCAGGCCGGCGTTCTCTTTCTGTTGCGCACTCCAGATGGAAGAAGACGGGCTTCACGTGACCGCCTGGGGGAGCTTGTCCGTTTTGTGCAGCGAAAGCCTCAAGGCCCCTGAAAGCAGCGAGATCAGAAGAGCGCGCCAGCAGTCTTTGAACAGTTGTCTGGCAATCACCATGATCTGGACAGAAGCAGAACCTCAACAGCAATTTACTCCCCAGCACCTGCCCAGCCGAGGTGAGTCCCCCCAGCATTGGCTGCGTGGACTGAGCTGTCCGAGCTAACCATGCCATTGCAGCAAGCTTGCATGAAGCCACGACCACACCAATAACCTTGCAAGCGCTGTCTCCATGTGCAATGATCGGAAGAGACCAAAGCGCTTCTTGCCTTCCTTGAGCAGGACTTCGATTTATAAGCTCCTCGTGCCTCCGATCGTGCGACTCGCTCGACGCCTCAGACCCCGGCTCGGTCCGCGAGTGATCCTCTTAACCCCAAACCTCATCGTCAAGTATGGCGCGGCGGAGGTGTATTCGGAAGCCTGCGCGATTGACTACATCTCGAAAAACACCTCGATCCCCGTGCCGAAGCTGATCGCGGTTTTCCAGACCCGCGACGGGACCACGTACATGCTCATGGCTCGATGCCCTGGCGTTCCGCTTCAAGGGATCATTCACCAGTTGACGCCAACGGAAAGACAAAATGCCTTTGCCCAGCTGCGAGGCTACGTCGATGAGCTGCGTGCGCTTGAGCCGCCGCAGCCTGGCAGGGTCGGCTCGATAACGTACGGGCCTCTCGAAGATGACCGCATTCTTGATGGGCCATGCGGTCCGTTTGAGAATGTATCTGCGTTTCACCGAGCGATGCGACTAGATGCGGAAATTCCATCCGGCCACGAAGAGTGTGACACGGTGATCTCGATGCAGAACCGGCGGGAATATGCGATAAAATGTACCCATGGAGACCTGTCCTTGCGCCATGTGCATTACCTTGATGGGAAGATCACAGGTGTCATTGACTGGGAGTCAGCAGGCTGGCTTCCCGATTACTGGGAGTATACAATGACCTGGGACTCCTTCTGGGATGCACCCGGTTTGAGAGCCAACATCCCCGCATTCCTAGACCCTTTCCCAGAGGAGCTGGAGATGGAGCAAGCTCGGATACGATTATTTCGGGGGAGAAATTGAGTGCCGAGTCTGCGTGCCGGTTCTATTTTCAGACCGTTTGTTTGCTCGTGGCGATCCCCATGGCAGAACGGAACGTTTCTAAAATTGGCTGAAACACAATTTAGCGTTGCCATCGGGTTCAGATGCTGCCATGCTGGAAATGAAAAGCGGCAACGTTACGCATAATAATAATGCTTTGACAAACGCCCCAAGACCTGCGTCTAGCAAACCGACGGATCATAAAATAATAGGAAGATTATTTAGGCAAATCTCTCCCTGGCCGGCGTCCCAAGGCTCAGGTCCTACAGGAACGATGGCAACGACAAGTTCCGGTTTTTGACGGCGTTGAAAAAGCCGTGCATGAACGGTACAGGGGGGGGAAGGATATCCCTGGCCCCAGGTGGGATTCATCGGATACGAGCCGGGGTAGCAAGGCGCCATCAAAGGCCGTGTGACGCTTTTTGAACCTGGATCGTATAAGATGGCCATTTATCTCTTCTCTCTCCCACTCTCTCTTTCTTCGCTGCTTGCGGAACGGGCCGCTATCATCCCCAGTCACGCGTGTTGAACTCTTAACCCTGGGCGCGGCTTTACTCGATGAGCGGCACATTTTGGAAATGCTTTCGGTTCTGGCTTTCGCTATGACCCCCTCCAAAAGCCGGGAATCCGATTCGCTGAGAACTTGCTTAAAAAGCTATATGCATCGCTACCTACTATGATGATATTGAGGCCCATGTACCGCAGGTTTAGGAGAGTCAAGCGAACCGACCGTCCTACATACATTGGCCTGTCAGAGAGATCGTTTCTGAATACGGTCAGGCAAATCCTTTTCGCGTTACTTATGGAAAGGGGGTTATATAGCTGAAGATGTTGCTCTCTTGTACTAGGCAAAAGGATTTTCAGGCACTGCTAAACTGATATCGCGTGGGTCTGCTTCGCATCGTAATCGTTGGCCCAAACCATTGATATTACACCATGCCTTCCAATAAGGATCGGTTCTATGTCGCCCTGTATGCCCTTAGCTCTCCCAACATGTTGTTCTCCCAACTCTGGCAGGATTGTGGGCAAAATTAACCGTGGCCTAGGTACCATTGGGCGTTCTTTGTATCTCCAAAGGATGATCCCGACGGCGATGATCGCACAGTACGGCACCACGCCACCAACAAGATTCTTCTGCGAGACGGGACAATGCAGCAAACCTGGCAATACCAGCAGGACCACCTCAAAAAGGTCAAAACCACAAGGCTCCTATGCAGAATCCTCATCGGCAAGGTTGAGAAACCACGACAGGAACTTGAAAGTTCGCTTCGACGTGTGCCAATAGTGCAGGATGTACGTCATTCCAGCAAATTTGGGCTTGATCTCCGCCACGTCTAATGATTGGGGTTTCAGGACCCAAACTGGAGGTGTCGAACGTGGACCGCAAATGCCGTCGAACAGCTAGCGAAAGACGGGATTCTGAGTAAGCTTCACTCTCCGCGAGAGATTTCTGGGAGACAGCTGACGGAAGCGCAGGCAGCAGGTCCATCACGGATTGGTCGGTTATTGAGGCCGGGTGTCGAGCGTATATCCAGAAGAAGATAGAGAATGGAAGATTCACTTCGTTGACGACCACGATCCCTACGTATGACCTCATGGCGAGAATGGAAACAGTGCCCTGAAGCCTGGGGTTTCGTGTGCTGTGAGGGGATGGCAGTGCAGGAGAAACGCACTCTGTGACATCCCCCGTGTAGGGAATCGAGATCCTCACTCGTTTTTCCTCGGAACTCTGAGTGGTAGCTTGACAGTCGGGGGGTACAGTTATATACTCCGTCGTCTCGTTTTTTCCTGTAGTCATCAAACGAAACTGAAGCAAAGACGACGAGTCTTAATGCCAGCATCAGACTACGTTTCAGCCAAGTTAGCGGTTCATGTCAGGCTAAACTAGCACAGCGTTTTCTCCATCGCTGGGTATGAAACGTGAAGTAGCGGACTAGCGCCATTTGACTTGATAACTTAGAGCAAGATGTGAACCACCAACCCCATCTCCTAATTAAGCATCATGGTGCTGTCTCGCCAAGAGCCAACAGGAGCCACCGGTTGGGGGCGGAGCACAGGGCCGAAACCAACACGGTCCTGCAACACTGTGCTTCAAAAGAACTAAACGCATCCTGGTTGAATTAAACAATAATAGTAATAGCATGGTTGTATGTATGTACTGTACAGAGGTATCGTCAAATTCCCAACGCACGTGCCTCCATCAAGCCCCCAAAACGCCTGTAGCTGCAAAAAGGATATCCCAACGCTGCCAGATCAAGTTGGTCCAGCAGACCGCTTCGTCTGAATTGGCTTCTTTAGAGTACCGTTCGTTGATGGTCAGGGGATAAGCTGGTCATCTTCATGGATGTATTCCTCCTCCCAGTCTTCGAATTGCGCGTATGACTTCTCCGACTCCGGAAGAGCGACTGAGGGGCCTGAGCGGAGTTTACCACGAATCCACTCGGTAAAGTCGACCAGCGCGACTGCGACAAGGAAAAGTAATATTAACACTACTGCGAGCACGCCCGGGGTGATGAGTGCCGGAGATTCTCCACCGACGAAGGCGTCGGTGTCAATATCGGAGCAGGGTCTGCAAATGCGCATGATGCCGCTATTGCCGAATTTACTGCAACTGCCGCAGTCCGGTATCGAACCGGACGGTAGAACTAATGGCATGGGCGAAGGAGTGCTAGGCAAAGAGAGAGTGTGTGAAAACGAGTCTGAGAGAATGGATGGCGTTTCTGTGGCGGCTGATTCGGTTTGTGTCGAAGGGGAAGGTGGAGGGAATCCGGGTATCTGCACATCCTGGCTGGTCGCGTCTTCACCGTGTATGGTCTAGAGAGAGAGACAACATCAGTTCTGGAAAGCCAGCCGGGGGCGGTGCGGAGAGAGTTACAAGCTGGATTTCATGCCGAATCCTAACCACCGCACGCTCACCCAGTTTCAACTTCTTGATGTTTGGCATTGTATCGGAGAGTATTTTTTGGTGGAAGGAGAGATAGAAGTGCAGGCAGAGATGAGAAATCTCTTATGGTTGGTCTCTGTGTGCCAACAAACAAAGAAACCAAGGTGAACCAAGGAAAAGAAGAAAAAAACCCGCAGCGTGATCAGTTGGTATGTGGTATAATGCAGCCAAGTAAACACAAATATCAAAACAAATTTGCCGTCGCTGGCTCTGCTTCAGCTTAAGAACGAAGATGAGAAGAGGCGGAGCGGGACGGTCGTCTCGCAACACAGGGAAAGGAGCGGTATTTCTCAAACAAGTGAGGGAAGAAGACGCGAGAGAGCGAGGAGTGCGCCTCTTTTTCTGTTTCACTAAAGGGAAAACCCGCGCCTAGGGTTCCTCGGAGCGATCCGAAACGGGCAGAAACCCCAAAGCAACGAGATCACCAACTCCGCGACTGGCTTGTGGTTCGTTGTACGACATGACCTTTTCCCGCGCGTGCGACTTGGGGCTGTGCCTCAGAGCCCAACCACTCCTCCAGACACAAGCGGGACGGTGTTGGCCCCTAATCGGGACGATTCGACCGGTCATTTCTGCCTCGGCGGATTGACTGCGGGACGAGCCCAGTCATTGCCGTCTCTCGAGTTGGTGTCTGGATGTTTCTTCAACGCAATCCTAGCGGAGCAAAGACCACGAGGAGGATGACGAGGCCATGGAGTCTGGGGTTCTGGAACCGCGATGGCCAGCATCTGAGTTTAAGACAATTTGCTCAGGGCGGAAGGGAGGAGGAAACTAAACTGACGAGTCGGTCGAGACAAGCAACGAGAAGCTTTGAAGCTAGCAGACGATCGTCCCAGAGCATGTGGTTGCACTGGTTGACGCGTGGGAATATCCTGGCATCACACAAACACAGAGAGAGAGAGAGAGAGAGAGAGAGATAATGAGAGAGAGAGTGTGTGTGTGTGAGTGTGATAGTTAAGATCGCGAAGATGAAAAAGAGCAAAAAGACAACATGTTGGAGAGAGTGGGGTTCGAACCCACGCAACTTTCGTTATTCGAGATTCGCAAGCTTAAATCGAACGCCTTAGACCACTCGGCCATCTCTCCGCAAAGACACCAGCACACTCCCGGCCTGCCATCTAGAATAGCCCAACTTCCACTTTCCACTCCCGCGCAATCTCCTCTGCGCTCGTCTCCTCCTTTGCTGCCCACAGCGCCCGCAGGATCTTCAACGGCAGCTGCAGATGAGCACTTCCATCGTCGGCGAAATACTCCGCCCAGAACCCCTCCAGGAAGCTCCGCTGTTGCGCCGTCAGGAACCGATGCTGCGTGCCCACCGTGAATGCCGGGAACAGCAGCAGGTTGGTCATCGACGGCGTGGCCTCGGGGCTGTCATATACGTGTTCCAGCTGCTCCAAGATGCGTCCTACCAGCGTCTCGGTGGGTGGCGACGAAAACGGCCGTGGGATCTGCGTGCGCGCGCCCAGGGTGCCGGGGCGACTCCGCGGGCGCCGCTCCCTCGCGTGGATGATGCCCGCCAGCCGGTTCATCTCCCACAGCGCGTCGCTGAATCTGCTCGTCGGAAGCCCCCCCGCGGTCCACGACCAAAACGCCCACTCGACATTCGGCTCTGCGATCAACGAGAAAATGTCCAACAGGCTGTACGGCATCCCGCTGGCCGGCTCCGTCCCGCGCTTGCCACGACAGTAATCGCGCCAGATATTCAAGGTGGGCGTTTGCCGCCCGACGATGTGAGACGGTATGTCGAGGAAGCCAACCGAGGCGACCAGCTCCCCCGCGACGGGCGTCCGGTTCTGGACCGCCGTGCGCTGCTGGAGGATGGTGTAGAGCCCATTCAAATGTATGGTCCATGACTTGCAGCTTTGCATCTACGTGCAGGACAGACATATCAGTAGCTGTAGAGGCGGAGATGAGGGAGCCAACATACGCCGATGGAACAGAGTAGAAGCCCGGCGATTAACGTCGCATCCTGCAAGCTTCGGGCCCGATCACAGACATCCTGGCGGAAAAGACGCAGGGCTTTGCCGTAATACGCTTCCAGCTTCTCCTGGTGCTCTGGATGCAGTGACAGCTGGAATAGAAGACAGTTTGCCATCAGCGCTTCAGACACCTCGCAGTGCGCCATGATCTCCCCAAACGGCGAGTATCCATTCTCAGAGCCCATCGAGAGACACTGCGCGCCCCATTCTTTGACTAGACACAATACAAATTTAACAATCGACAGCCAGACATTGGGTAGGATCAGGTACCGTACACTCTCGAAATAACTCTTGGTCAAAGGCACTCAACAACGAGGGCGACAGCGACGACGAAGCCGCCGTCGACAGGGGCGATGTGCCAGCCGAGTCTCCCGCTTCGTTCTGCGAGCTCACGCTGCCCTTGCCTCTTCCCGCCTCCGAGTCAGAATCCGCCGGGGTCGCTTTCTTCACACTTCCCGCCGGTTTCGCCCTGGCCGCATTCCCGCCCCCAGCCGCGCCGCCGCTCTCGCCCGGTCCCATCACCATAATCGGGCAGTTCATCCCCTTCAGATATCCTCTCGACGCAACCCCATTCCCCCACTTCAAGCGCGCCTCGTATCCCTCGCATTTCAGTCCTTTGCTCAGACACTGGTTGCACTCTGGGTGCGTCTCATCGCACTTCTTCTTGCGCGAGCGGCACGTCCAGCATCCGTTGCGCGAGCGCGTAGCCTTGGGCTTTTTGGTGCCGCCTGCCGTAGATGCTTTGGCGGGCTTGCGCGGCGGATCCTGCGAGGTTGACATTGTTGGTAGTTATCTGGTTGATGGCTCAATGGCGCTGCTCTGGACGGAGTAGCTAGTCAGCAAGTTAATGGGCCGCCAATCCGAATCTTGACACCGATTCAATCTCAAACCGTAGTAGCTATCCTAGAAAAAGGGCGGATTGTGTGATACTTGAGGCATTCATTGCGTTGCATCACATAACTTGAGGGTGAACATTGATCCAGACTGCAGTCTCTTGGTTAACTAGTTACGGTTCATGTGAGGATGGAGTTTTCAATGATGGAGATACCACCTCCTCTTAGTTAACTAACTAATAACTACATAACTAACGGACGGAACCAGCTTATTTATTTACTCCGTAGGCAAATCTATATCTTGACCAGAGCTACAGAAGCAATCATGCTCAAGGTAAACTCCACAACAATGTTGCTGTATAGGACAAGGTCCCCGGGTCGAAGATTAACTTCCTAGACTTACAAGTTGCCTCTAAAGGCTCACTTTGAACTGCTACCTTCAAAAAAGCCATGAGCTACATGTCGATTCGGCTGTATTCCGGGCTGTTACTCGAGTGAAATTGCTAAATCATAATGCTCATTGATTAAAAAACCTAAAATCGTTCTATTTCTAATGTCTTCGATGCAACCAAGCCATCTAGACCAAAATCAAGATGTATACGGAAAACGGCCAAGGGGTATCTATCAAAATTGCAAAGTTTGAGGTGGCCCCTAGATTGTATTCTATAGCTCTTGATGAAAGAATGCAAGCGTGGAGCAAAAGTTATTTCTGTTGTCCTTCTGCAGCACCAACGCTTCGCCGCGGGACGTAATCATGTTCGTGCTGGCCTTTGTGCTCATGCCGTAGAGGTAAACCTTGGAGCAGTCGATATCGACCATGTTAAGCTGGCACGATTCGGTGTCCAGGCAGTCCTGGTTGTAATTCTCAAAGAAGCTGTAAAGTCCGCCCCCAAAGAGATAGATATCGCTTGACTGCACGGCCCTGAGACCCCAAGCCTTTTTGCACGCTGCAGTTGTGCAGTCGCCAAAGGTTGGGTCGTTGAACTTCGGGTTGGGCTCAAATGGCACAAGGGCATCTGGGTTCGACTGGAAGTACCTGCATCTCCTGTTAGTCGTCGCAGATGACATATTGAGGAACAAGCTTACGGTGTCTCCGTTTGGATCAAAGCCATGTAAACATTCTTTGCATTGTGCAACTGGTAGTTGTAGAGCGTGTTATGCTCAGAAGCGGTGCCATACATCCACACCGGACCCTGACTCTCGATCAAAACACCTCTTCCGTTGTAGATGTTGATTTGATTGAAGTCGGGGAGATCCAACTCGTGGTCAGACACCCAGAACCAAGTATTCTCAAAGTATCCAGATGCCGACTCCGTGAGATGGAGCAGCATAAAAGCGCCAAAACATTTAGGGTCAGGGGTGGTAGTTGAGTTTGGTGTTTTGGTACAGTGGTCGCTCTGGAGTTCGGTTCCGGCCGAACCACCAACCCTGAGATGGACATCCCACATCCCAACGGATCCTTGGGTCTCTTCGTGAACGTTCCACTGAACCAGAATGGCGCCAGGTGCAGGGCCTTTGGTTTCAAGCATAATATCAGAGATCTCGACGTTACCTTTGTCGCCTGGCTGACCAACTTGAAGCATGGGAATGGGGTTTTTCTCATCTGAGAACGCTGGGCCTGTCGCCATCAGCAGCGGCCAAATTTCACCGGTGATCTTGATATTCTTTGGGACTTTGATCGTCTTTGTGATCAAATACGCACCGTGATCAAAATACACGATTTGATCAGGCTTCGCATCGTCTAAGATTTTTTGGATGGCTTCCGTGTCGTCAGTCTTGCCATCGCCTTTGGCGCCAGCTGACTTAACGCTGATAAAGGAAGATGCTGGAACATTCTGGTACTGTGGTTTTGCGCGCTCAAACACCTTTCCGGACTGATCTAGGAGAACAGCAGGTTTGGTAGGCCCCGGCAATTCAGTCTGGACTCTACTTTTCGTAACAGGCGTGCTAGTACAGGTCTCAGTGGGACTATCAGTTTCAGATTGTGAGGGCGTAGGGATGGCCGGCGACGAGACGGAAGTTGGTGATGGCACTACTTCGGAGAAGTCTGACGGGACTGGGATACTAGTGCTTTGTCCCGGTGGAACTGTACCAGGGCTTGAAGCGGTGGCGGTAGATGGAGCTTGTGGGGAGCTGTTCATAGGGCTGGAATTGGTGGCCGACGGCTCTGGCAAAGGACAATCTGTTACGGTGACCACCTTCTCAAGCGTCACCGTTTTCGCGCTGCTGTCAAGGCCATTGCGCTTCAATTTGGAAACACCTGGAGCAGAGTTAGGGGTGTAAGCGTTGCCTTGAATCCAGTGCTCAACTACCGCATTTCCACCGAGGATTTTCTCCCCCTTCAAGCCTGCTATGGCCACTTCCGTTTCAGAAAACTCCACGTTATCCAAGATCAGTGCCGTTCGTCTCCGGTGCGCCACTGTCAAAGGCAGTCACCACACCTTTGGGTGTCTTGCTAATCTTGCTGTCCAAAATTAAAATAGAGCCGACCGTTTGGCTGGGAGCCCCGTTGGACATATCCAACCCGACACCGCAATTGTTGATGCTTATAGATTTGAAGGTCCACGCCCAATTCCACACCATAAAGATAGCTGTATTGCATTCATTGAATGTCAAATTGCGGGTGGTGAACTGCTGGTTGCCAAAGAAGGCGCCGTAGTTCCCGCCATTGAAAACCAGATCGGTCATGAAACCGCCAGACCCATTTTCCATGAAGATGCCCGATTGTTTGTTCGCATCGCCACCACCTCGAACCATCTCAAACCGGATGTTTTGTAGACTGGTTGCTTGGGCCACTTGCCAATGGATACCGGCACCAACACCCCGGTCCAGGGAAGTCAAATCAATCACAAAGTTGCGAACTTGGCGGAAGAAGTTGTTTTGGTTTGTGAACCAGTTGGTGCCATTGTTGGTATATGGGTTAGCGTCAATCACAGCAATGCCAGTAAACTGTGGCGACGCCTTGAGGACCGGAAGGCTCACGGCATCGCCAACCAGCTGCGAGTAATAGTAGGAGACAATGGGTTTCGAGACGATGTAGGTTCCGGGAGGGAAGTAGACAAGCGCGGGCTTGATCGTCGACGAGTCACAACCCAAACCGCATCGGTTACCGGAGGAAATGGCTCTGTTGATAGCTTCGGTGTCGTCGGTTGAGCCGTCGCCTAGCAGATTCAACAACATATGAGCGTCAGAAGCACCAAAATGGAAGAGGCATGTATCTTTCCTCACCTTTCGCACCAAATTCCTTCACATTCCGAAAGACCTGGTAGTTTCCGTCTGGATTAAAAGCTGCTTTACCCTGACGTTTGATCGCTCCCAGCCAGTACTCAGCCCCTGGGGCTGGGGGTTGAGCTTGCGGCATCGGCGCCGCATTGCTAGAAGGAGTCAGGGGCAGCAATAGAAGCAGAAGTTGAAAGATGAAAAACCCGATAGCGGATTTTCTAGCCATGATTAAGAATTGTATGTATGCGACAGCTGAGGATGGCTACTGGTAATCCCTTGCAAAGGGAATCCCGAGGGAATGAAACGGTTCTCTATGACCAGCACCTGGAACCAGAACTGTTTTGCGATGCTCAGCTGAGTGCCGACGAAGTGAAACTGCTGAAGAACAGGCAGGTCAAAACAGGGCGGGAAGAAAGAGTGATCAAAACTTGAAGGAATGAATGGCAACTGAGTGCAAGCAGACACTTTGGGTGAGAAGGTCAGCCTGCTTTAACAGCACATGCCAATGGGCAACGAGAGTGAAGGCTGGGAGAGGGATCTCTCCGCATTGGAATCAGTTTCAAGGTCAAAAGAAGGGCAGCTGTGTCCCGCAGTGATTGGCGACACAATAAGAATAGGCATTCAAGAGCGTGAATGTTCCATTATTGCAAAGATGTATGACATTTGAAACGAGTGAATAGGTTGATAGGACGGCAAGGTGTCAATGGAAGGATATATCATGAGCTGCACTGCTCACCCGCCCACTCACAGAGCGCTGACAGGCTGAAGATCCCCCAGCGCAAGTTTGATTAACGCCACTAAAGGAATGGATCCCACTCACTAATCGAGGAATCAACTATTGATTTTGGCCCCGTCAAGGCGAGGGACAACCCGTCTTCGCGCTAGGAACGATGGGATCCCCGCATGAAACAAGGGGACGAGGGAGTCTGGACGTGGAAGAAAGCATCAATCAATAATGGAGAGATGCCCTGGTGCCAGACAAAGGAATGAAACTGGCCCAAAATGAACGCAGTTTCAATCGATCGATACTATTCTCGAGTCCTGAACCCACGAAGGAAGACGACCTCTTTTATCGGCTCCCCATCGTCGCTGCAAAGCGTCGATATTACCACCCGGGTGGCCCATGACGAGCAGCGAAACTGATGGCTCTGGAGTGCTTGCGACACCGCCAGGCCCCTTTGGTTGCAGGCCTCGCGTCAAGATCTGATATATGATCCCGGTGACCAGATCAGTTCGTCTGCCAGCGTGAAGAATGATGTCCGGACCTCTTGCCCTGCCAATGACATCGGCTTGGTCTCCGGTGCTCCGAGCAAGTCATCGCCCTCGGTGGATGAATCTCCATGACTGGGAGAGGCAGATATGATTTGTCCCTGGTCAAGACGGTTTCTTTGAAACGCTCGACTTTCAGGCGCGGAACACCACCACGCCGTCGTTGAAGCCGAGCGAGTCTCAACCATGCCCCACCAATATTGGCACTCGGACGGGCTTGAGATGACTTCACCCTGTGCGGTCGGCAGCTGATAGAAGCCAATCATGCAGCGGGCAACAGGGATCATCAAACATCCGGGAAAACGCTCAGGACCGTGGCGTCTCGGCGCTGTTGATCAAATTCAATAGTTCTTCGTTGCTTTTGGACAGCCTTTCCTTGACACATGCCTTTCTGACATCTGTGCTTTTTGGGGCCTCCCAGCCTCATACGTAGGTATGTACTCCGTAGCCTGTACTCCGTAGACTCACGAGAGAAAGCAGCAACATGGGCAGATAAATTCTCAGGTCATCCTGTCGCTCGGAGAGGATAAGAGATCGTCATATCTTCATGGCTTGAAACCGCTTGCGAAATATCCTTTACATCCGTGGTGAAGATTGGAAACTTGATGGATAGACTCGGATTTAGGCCGAGCCATCAGCCACTCCTGAGTCCTCCGGTTCTTGGGTTCTCTGAGAGTCTGTTGGAAACTGGAAGGGCCTTCCTCCGTCCCGAAGCCTTGTTTGTATGTACGACAACATTTCATTCTCGTTCATGATTAACCAGGGATCCCGAGTCGCACAAACCATGCACTCGCGGGGAACACCTGACGGTCGTCGAAGCACAGCTGCACACCTGCCAGATGGCCTACATATGCTCGTGGCCAGTGCTTACAAGAGGAGCTCGAGATCCATGTGGGATCATGTATTCCGGTACCACCCAGCTGCAGTGGCATCACCTGGCCGATGATATCTACAACTCTCTTTTGAAATGGATCTTCTTCACCCAGGGACCAGTGTGGTTACACGATGGCTGGTGGTGTGAGGAAGCAAACAAAAGAGGAGAAATCGCGTTGCTGCGAGAGATGTTTCCCTCGGAGCATGCAGCGGACTCCGAAGCTACATTGGCGATGGCCTAGAATCTGCCCAATCCTCGGACCTCAGGTAACTAGCTACTCCCCACAGAGATACCCAACATCATGGCAAACGCACGCTTGGTATATGAATTCACCTGATAAGGTTGGCCAATCTTTGCACTCCCTCCGCCAAATTGCCCTCCTCTTCATATGCGAAGCAAAGGCGGATGTATTGCTCCAAGTCATGACGGGCCCCATGATTGCTCACATCCCCTTCCACCTGGAACATGGTTCCTTCGCCGATCAATAGATTCTCCTCTGCTTTTGCCCTCGCAGCCAAGCGGCTTGCTTTTTCGCGTGGAGGAAGAGCTAGCCACACGAAATATCCACCGGAAAATTCACGGTCGTCCTTCACCACCTGTACCCCTACCTTTGAGAGGTTATCTGATATCGCGGCAAGCAAAGTATGGTGCCTTCTGGCATAGATGGGACGCAAGGTGTTGTCAATGTACTCTTGCAAGAAGCCTGAGGACAGTAATTCTCGAACGAATGTCGATGTGAGCTGGGACGGGGCCCCGCCTGATCGAGAGGATCCGCTGCATCGGACATGTCACAGGTTAGCGGAACACTCAGGACGTTGTTTGGTGCCAGAAACCCGAAACCGACTTTACTCACGTTTGGGATACACCATACGCAAATTTTGCAGTTCCTTCAGCCCAGCCTACTCGACAGCCCGCGCCAATCAGTTTGCTGAAACTCCCGTTACTGACTACGTTACCAAATTCATCCTCGGGTCCCCCGTCAAGGAAACGGTCGATGTCGACCAAGCGAGGCGCGATGGCCCTGGTTGGATGATCTGCTTTCCCTGGCTGAGACCTCCATTGAAGGAAGTCGTACACATCGTCGGTGATAATCAAAGCGTCGAACTTGCGAGCTAGGCGTACCAATTGCTCCCGACGGCGCTGGGACATAATTCGGCCGGATGGATTAGAAAACGTTGGCACCGCATAGATCAGATGCTTGTAAGCCTTCCGCCACGGTCGCGGCGTCTTTGTACCCTGAGCCCGCACGAGCTGCAAGTAAGCAGTTGCCGGATGCTCTAGCATTGACAGCCAGCAGGTTAACCTACCGGTTGTAAGTGATGCATGTCAGGCTCCCCGGACTCGCACTTCTCCAGCTCCCTCTCCAAGAAATCCACATCAATTCCCTCTAGATCTTCTGGCACAGCCTTCATTCTCTTAGAAAAGCCCGCATCATCAAAAATCCTGCAGGCAAGGTAATATGTTGGCTCCACCATCCACACGCGCTTTGTGTATCCCGCATCGCTAAAGACCTGCAACACGCACGCGAGATTCTGACTCGCACCGCCAGTGATGCAGATCCGGTCCGCGGTGACTGGCTGCGTGGGCGTGTAAAAGCTGGTGAGCCACTTTGCGATTTCATTCCGCAGCCCTGGGTCCCCTTCATCGGGCCCGTAACCAAGTGCGGGCGTGGAGAGGGCCTGGTTGCATAGGATGGCCGTGGCGGCTGACTGGAGGGCACTGGTGGGGTGGAGGGAGGGATTGGGCCAACCGCGGAAGAGATTGATGGGAGGTTTCGCTGGAGCGGTCATCGTCGGGGGGTGGCTGCGCAGGTGAAGACTCGCATGCTCATGACAAAGAACGATAGCAAACTACAGAGTACGGAGTACGGGGCACTGATACCTCGTTAACCTTATGAGCGGCCACTTAGCCAACCAAGGTTGGCCTTCTAGACAAACGCTGGATGTCATGTTACGGTCCGACTAATCTCCGTTCTTTGTAGAGGAACCTTTTTGCGCTCGAAAGATCCAGAACAGAACTGGGCTTCATGGTAGCAATCCTTTTGTTAGCGGCCGCGAACTGTTACGATCACCTCTTGTCGACCCCTCTTTTGCTCTGCATCACAGGTGCAAGGCAGCCGCTTCCCCAAGATATCCGGGCGGCCGAACCCTTGTTGTCATAGCGCCCGTCCCCGCCAACCGCCTTTCCAAATCCGCTCTCCCGCATATGCAAGTATTTATGCCCATCATCGCTTAGGGATGTGGGAGCTGGTTTTCGTTTGGATCGTTCGGATTACAGCATTCTTCGAAAACAGCAGGACTTATTGCGGGAGCCAGTGCATTGGGTGGTTCGCTCAATGCTTGAGATTGCACTCGTCATGTTTGAGCGATGCAGCCTCCGGGTTCTATATGTAAGCAGGCTCAGGCAGCAAGAGCCTGCTTAGGCCTGTGACCGACCCCTGCGGGAGGTATATCCAGCGAATAGTAGCTGTGGTACTTGCTCTATAAAGAGGGAGAGAACGACTAAGTCCTGGAAAGGGCGGTTATGCCGCATTCGACGGTGGGAGGGGCAGGCGAAACCGTCCTACTTGTCCTTGCACCCTTCAGCATAAATAGAGCTTCGATTTATCCTTTGGAAGCCATACATTCAAAGCCCAAATTTCGGTCACGCTCATTACATATTTGCCAGTATCAGCTGCGCCCTTTAGCGTCCTTAGCCATTTAACATCAGTGTCCAGTGTAACTGGTGAGTGTGCATTCCATACGTACCTCCAATCTAACACGGTGACTTCTAGAACTCTTGACACAATGGTTATGCTCGACCAACCCCATTTGAGAACGGTCGTTTCTGCTTTAGCGCAGAAACTGGATTCCCTAGGCATCGATTATGCCCTCATGGGGGGTGCTGCAGTCTGCCTACTAGCCCCTAACCCAAATCGAAAAACGGAGGACGTCGACCTTGTTATTCACGTTGATCAACGTATGATTACTGCAGACCAGCTGACCCAGCGACTCCTTGAAGGGTTTCCAAATGATTTCGGTCCAGTTAGTCAATTTGGACACACAATCCCGGCATTCAAGCTCCAACTGCCTGGAGGTGTAGTACATCTAGTTGAGCTGGAAGTGTTTGACTACCAGAGCTGGCCACAACGCCCTCAATACAACATCCCAACTGCCTCACGGACAACCATAAACATTGATGGACAGGCAGTTAAAGTGTTCGGTCCTGAATGGCTTCTGCGAGAAAAGATCTTATCACAATATCAACGCCAGGGTAGTGCAAAGGAAAGAGTTGATGTCCGTGACATTTCGAATTTGATCCCCTTGGCAGTCTCCGGCAAGCCAGAACTTGATTTCAACCAGAATGAAGATTTGCAAACGGCCCTGGCACATCTTGTACGGAATAGACCGGCGCTGGTTGAAGCTTTGAAGGCAAAGATTAAGTGCACCACAGTCTTCCAGAATTAGTAAGGCCATCTCGAAAATGCTACGGTACCAGCTAACTAATTGGATCATAGGTTGACATACACATTTGTAGGATCAATCTATCCTCAGTGGCAAGGCAAGCTGGCCAGCTACAAACTCTCAATGGAATGGCAATTTGTTAGCTACTGTTGCCGGATGAGTTTCTTCTTCATCTCTATGAAATGTAATCGATTCGTCCAACTTAGCAAGCCTTGACAGTGCATTGTATTTGTACAATTCTGCTGTCTGCCTGGCTTGATAAAGTCGTTACAATTTGCCAGAAGAGCACTGAATTAAAGCCTATAACTACGTGACTTGAGAGCAAAAAAGAAAAGAAAAGAAAGAACCGGAACAAGTCAAAAAGTTATGGCTTCAAATTAAATTTCCTCTCATGTCTACCGGCATTTCTCTTTGAGAGCCCAGCCTTTTCGAGATGCGCCGGTCCATGGGCCCATATTTTGACTCGCGTACCCGGCCAAAATGGATGCTATACCACTCCACTGCCTTCGAATCCGCACAGCGATCGAGAATGTCACTATTGACTTCTAAATAGCCAGTTATTAATGAAAGCCAGCATCCCAACTCTTCTCCCCAGGTAGAATAACCCAGCTCATCTTCATCATCAATTGCTGCCTTGACAATACTCTCCACTAATGCCGCTTCAAGAGGGTAATGTAAATTGCCGTATGTATTGTATTGCTTTTCCGCAAGCAAGTCTTTTGTTGTGTGAGAGGACAGCGCGATATTTTGTAGTGGAAGGTGTGTGAATGAGTTGGGCAACAGAAACACCTGAGTGCCAAGATGCGGGTGATGGGCGGGATAATCAAAAACGGTGCAGGATCGATCCAAGCGCTTGAAACCCGCATTAATCTCATCAATCACCTTCTGGGGATCTGGATGCGCTGCTAGGACTTCTGGAGCGGGGGCGCGATCGGGAAAAGTCTGGGTGAAACCAGCGTCCTTCAGCTTCTGACAGGCGACTGTGTAATCTTCGTCTCGCACAACCAGCATGCTCGCCTGTCGAGAAAGTCATATCCATTAGCAAAGCTCAGATATTCTTGTAAGAGGAGAGCCATCGATACCCCGAGGACAACCGGAACACCCAAGTAGTTCATTGCCGAACCGGCCCATGGCCAAACGGGAAGGGGGTTGAGGATGCGGGCTACCGCCGCAGCATGACGGTCGGGCTCAGTGGCTCGCGGGCGTCGGAACATTCGGCCGGCTATTCTAATTCTATTGTATTCGAGGGAGTTAGAGTGGAAGACCTTGGTGACTGCGAGTGAGTTGTTAATGAAGTGTGCAGCTGGTTGAATGTTGACTGCCCAGAAGGCGGTTCGACCCCCGCTCACGAGTTGGTGATGGAAAACTGGAAGCGCAAAATGCGCTGAGTGCCCAATCATATCAGAGCCATGATGGGCTGAATTGTAACTATTACTGCTGCCTAAGTAGGCTGTGGGATTTCCATCACGGAGTCAATGGATAATGAGGATTATTTGGGCAATGCCGACGAGACCATGATCTCTTGTTTTGCCTTCTACGGTAGTTAGTTACCCACTTAGCAGGATTAAAGGTTGACGAAAAAATTGGATATTGACGGGTTCAGGGTCCTTTTGGAGCCATATTTTCAGAAGTATTCATCATTTCGTCCTCGACTATTGGTGCTAAAAAGGTAAGGCCTCGCCCCGTCGACATTTCGAGCAGAATTATGTGACGGCGTTGGGTCCTCCCGGCAGAGGGTCAACGTTGTTTTGGGCATTCTTTGGTCATGCTCCGCCCTCGGGTTTGTCCAGTCCGCTTTCCCGCCGGATTGGTGCCGGTGAATAGCTGATGCAACCCTCAATCAATGCGCCGGCTTCTTCTTGCAGCCTCAACCGTGACTCCTTGCTCTGTTAAGCCAGTCATCAGGAGGGTCAGGGTGCAGCGAGATGAGCAGGCCTGAGGGTCGTCTTTGTTTGGGATGTCTGGGATGATGCAAAGCTGCCCGTGTTTCAGGGATGAGAAGGGAGCCAGTGCCTGGTGAGATCCTTGCTAGTGCTGATTGCTCCGGCGTGGCCTGAACCCATGGATCAAAGAATGCTGAGATGCGACAAAAGGGAAGTGGCCGTTGGAAATCTATGTAGAGACTGACACTCTATTCCTGTGAACCTGCCTTTCTCCTCCCAGTTGGTTTGTGCGGCGATGCCAGTCATCATCTCTTGTACCATTCCGCCTTGGAGGGTGAATGGCCTGCTGCCACCCCTATCCTTGTCAGATCTGAGATTAGGGGAGTCCTAAATATAGCCGTCAGCCTTAAAATCCTCAGCATTTGACAAGGAGCCGCAGAGAACAACAAAGCAAGGCATTCCAGAGCACTTTGACCATATTTAATGGATTTGTTGAAATTCCCAGGGCGGGACAATCAGCCATTCAGGCTACCGTTCACCATTGTGTGCTGGCGTGAGTTGGTCATTCACCGGTGCAGGCTGTGCCCTTTTTCCACTCGAGGACTGCACGATCCATGTCACTCTGTAGCTTGACATCAAACCGGCCGACGCAAATGACCCGAACAAGCCCACCCAGCAGCATCCGGCATCAAAAGTCCTCACGCAGTGGACAAATTTGTCAGCGATTCACTCGGCGGTCAAACTAGCTTCACACAGACTGTTTTTGTTCTTGTTGTTGTTGTTGTTGCCGTTCTCTGTTCCTCTTCTTCTTCATTCTTTTTTCTTCTGTCTTCCGTTGACGATCGTCCATAATAAATGACGTCCCACTTGGCCTGGCTATCTGGTTGAGATCCACTGCCAGGGCAGCTCCAGTGCTTGGATTTCATCGCCACATCTGAAGCAAACCCAACGTCCACCGTCGTCCAGGGAGGACGCCATCCCGCTGCTTCACAAAAACCGCCTAGAAATCAGACTCAGAGTTTCCGTTTCGTACCACGACACGAGCAGACTAGTCGACTGCGATACGAGCAGGGACTGGGGTGCCAGGCAAGATTTGCGGAGCTTTTTCTTTGCGTGCGTGGAGATCCAATTCGCCGGGACCGCCTCCAGCCTCTGGCAGCGAGTCTGAGCCTCCATCCAGCACGTTTTGCGATTGACGGATAAGCCCGCCTCGTTGGCACTGTTTCGGTTGCGGTGTTGGTTGGTTCTCATCGTCGTCCCGAACTCAATCACTTCCTCCCCCTTTCCCGAAATCCAAAACATTTTACGTCGTCCAGGCCGCGCAGTGATACGCTCAAACGACAGACACAAACACACTCATCCACGACCAAGAGAAGAGTCAGCCTCTTGCAGAGCCCATCTTCTCTCTCTTCCATGCCCGTTCTGCACGCCCTGATTCCCCTTTCTCGCATCCTTCTTGGCAACCATGCTCGCCGCACCTGCTAAGTCCGCCAAACGGCTTTCCTCCCTCTTCTCTATCGGATCATCCAAGGAGACCAAGGACGGCCCCAAGCAGCAGACGCGAATCCCTACTTCTACTTCATCACAATCTTCCCAGTCTGGGAGTTCCACGCAGCACGTTGCGACACCCTCCCAGTCTACCATCCGTCATGCGGCGTCTGTACAAAATTTCCAAGACAACCAGACCGTGACACTGGCCCCCAGAAACGTCTCTGCGCCGCTACCACGCGCGGACCCCTCGAGGGACGAACTGCTCTTGCCTCCGCCTTCTCTCAGTGCTGTCAATCCCGATGTCGCTGTCGACACTTCGCCCACGGACAACCATAAACGGCGGCAAAGCTGGGGTGGGAATATACCAGGTCTGGGTCGTCCCAGATCGGGTTCGGGACTAGGGCTACGACCACCAAGTCAGATAATTGAATCGAGATTAACCAAGGGACGGAGCTGGGTGCCCGGGAGAGCTTCAAAGGGGGCGGATGTAGCTACTGATAGCAAGCCGATGATGAGAGCCTGGATTGCTGGAACTACCCAGGAGATGCCATACGATGTCGATCAACTGGTCGCCGGCGAGAAGGTAAGTTTTCTTTTTCTTTCTCCCTACCTTGGAGTGGTTATCCTAAGTATTAACTGTCATCTCTTCTCTAGATCTCAGAGCTTTGGGATGAGGAAGGCGATACCTACGTGTACCTTTTTCCAAAAAACACTGGCCGCCCGCCTTCCTTCAAGGTTCCATCATGCACATTCAGTTCCTCTGCGGCGTTGACAGCCATGGTCCGTGGCTCAGACCCGGCCCCTTATCGCCTTCCAGACCGTCCGCCTAAACTTCATCTTTCTGTTCCCGTTTCGCCACCAGTTTCTCCCCCCCTAGGCCCTGCCGACGGGTCCCAGGATGATTCTGACGGAAGAAGATCGAGAGACTACCTGCTGGAAGAGAGCACCCAGGAACTGCATCTTTATCTGCCCATTCCCCTAAACAGTGACGTTTCGAACAACCGCCCAGTCCTGCATGATGACGATGTGGATGTACTTGTTCTTTTTCGAAATCTTTTCGCCTTTCTTGTTGGGCAGTCGTTGGTTGCAACACCACGATTCCCCACGATATTTTCCATTTTCATGGAGATATCCGGTTTGCTCGACAGGTTTTCCTTTGCAAATCTGGATGGTTCGACTTTTGGCGAGACTTCCGTTTCCAGTTTCGCGTGCTACTGCGACGAGTTAGGACTGTCTGATGTGAGGAAGAGCCCCGAAAAGACCCTTCAGGCAATCATCCTGGGAGAACGAATGCGGTACCTTCCACTTTACCAAGAAGGATTTACCCATGGAGTTGGCAAGTTGGATGATATCAAGCTCGTGGACAGCTCGAGATACGCGCTCGTGTCGAAGGTCACACAAAAAAGACTGGAGAGGGGATATCTCGATCTCGAAAACCGCTTGAAAGTTGTTCGAGAAAAGTTGGATGACTTTGACTTTCCTCAGCTATTCTCCGGCTTTGCGAATTCCACCGTGATGAACGAAGCCAAAATCATCCGTTTCAAAAACTGGAAAAACGCGTTCCTCGCGTTCAGGAAGCACGTTATGGCTTACTACCGATCGAGATTTGGGTCTTGGCCGCCAAAGGCGAATTCGAAGAAAAATGACTTTGAGGAGAGTGGTCTAAATCGATTGCTGCTCAAGGAGCTATACAACGACTTTGCTGATCTCTACGACATGCTGGTTGATAGAACGTCTCTGACCACGCGATCCTCTGACATGACGATCACAGACCCTGAAGTTGGTGATTCAGACCAATCCCCCACATCTCGAGCATTGAGACATGTTATGAGTGAATTCGACCGAAGCACGCCTCCAGTGGCACCTCCAATTCCTTTCGACATTCCACTCCAGCCCACCATTCGAACTATCAAGCGACGGCTTGACCCAAAGAAAGAAGCGAAAGAGCGCGCCAAGAAGCTCTCTAGCGGCGAGGTGAATGAAATTCTGCTTGGGGCGTATAACAACAAGAGTATGAGGCCAACTCCTTTCCTGGAAAGCTTCACGAAGTTCGAGAGGCGGGTGGGCAGCGGGAAAGAATACCGACGAGTTGTCGGACAACAGATGTGGACAGTGGTTGTTCATGTATGCCGTCCTTCAATCTCTCCCCATGATCGTGGTCGACGCGCCAAACGTCAAATTCACGGACGGGCGTGGAATACTTTCTGTGCATCCCTCCCTCGTGGAGGTTCCCCATGGTGCAAGGATGACGCAAAGTCAGGCCGCAGCTGGTTCGGTGTTGCTGGTGGATCTGGCGTGGTCAACCTCCCCTCAGATGTCGTTGCGAATGGGGTTGAAGGGATATATCGGCGGAGTCATTGTTGGCAGGTTGCTACAAAATGGGCCGATCAGCAGCAGCTACACTCAACGGTGATGCAGGATGTCGCGCCGGCTAGTCCAAACATTCCGGCCTCTCCACAGCAGGCTCCTTTTTCACCCCAGCAACCACTCCAATATCAAACGCAATATCCAGACGAATTCCACCCTCAGTTCCAGCCATACCAACCGCAATTCCAACCACAGTACCAACCACAGTACCAACCACAGTACCAACCACAATACCAACCACAGTTCCAACCGCAATTCCATCAACCACCATATCAAGCACAATATCAACCATATCAGCCTCCGAACGTTGTTCCTCCGCCGCTGTCTACCGAATCAACGTCCGATAAGCAGCCCACTCCGCTTTTGACGCCAGGCAACATCACACCACCAATGTTTTCGCTTCCCTTGCCGAATGCAGGGTTTGCCAGACCAGGGAACAGGTCCTCTATTCACATGGGTCTGGAGGCCCTGCCCCTTCCCGCCGGAGTGGTTCCTGTCGACCCCCCCTCACGTCCGGTCAGCCACAACCCAAACCTCAGCTTTGATCACATTTTAGGAGATATGCCCAGGAAGACGAAGAAATGAGCGCTTAGCCCGTGGCCGAATACCCTTCGACATTTTAGATCTTTCGTTTCGGCATTGCTTCATTTCTCTTTTCGCCTCTTTAATTTGCCCTTCCTGAATGATATTGCCCCGGCATTCTCATAGACATGAACCACATAGACCCGCCGTGATTTCGTTTCTCGATAGCCGCTGGCTTTTGTATCATTTCACTTTTTGATTCTTTTCTTCTGCCTGGCGGGGATTGGAGCCTCGACTTACGGTAATTAATAATTCGGCTCGATTGGTATGGATGCTGGAAGACTTCGATCAAAAAAAAAGAAAAATTACAACAAACACATTCCAATCTTCATGAATGATGAAAAAATCTCCTCGGTTCCCCCTATCTTGCGCTGTTGCCCATTTGAACTGTTTTCTCATCTCGTTGTATCCCATGTATACTCTCGATCCCCAGGTGTTGATTTTCTGTTCTGCTTTTCCCCATGCGTTAATGACTTCGGGTGCTTTCCTCCTGCATGTACGTATTCTGCAGCCATTCTACAAACGGTGGTTGCTCAAATCTTCATATGAAATCAATTGAAAATTCATCTTGCTGAAAACGCTTCTATTCTAGGCTACTAACTCGAATTGCTTTCTGGATAAGTAACAGGAATAGAAAGCGACGTTTCTACGGTCCAATGCTCTGAAGGCAAGGCTGAAGGGCATGGGTGAAGTTTGGCCCACGAAGTGAAAAACGCATTTAGGGCTCCAGCTCTTGATATGGCCATGATTTGGAGAAAAGCACTCCTTCCTAGTTGGTGGCCAAATTCAAGAATATATTTTTGAACTTGTCACAGTTGTTTTTTGCATCGTGAGAGCTAATGCTTTGTTATGAAGACCTCGATGCACTTTACCACTTCGACGCCTAGATGCATCTGAATATCGCGTATTAACCAGCTGCTTCAAACGTAATGCCTACAGGCCTGAGCTCCATTCCCGACAGCTCCGACAGCAAGGTCGGCAAGCTTCTGAATATCAAATCGCAGATAGCGGTGAGACAGCTCGCTTCGCTCATTGAATCTGCGGTCAAAGTAAGCACGTAGCCGTCACGATTGAAAGCGAGGCCGTATAGTCATCGATGCCGGATGTATCTGAACAGGGCCTCCTCCGCGATCGGTTCGTCTGGCGATCAACCATTAACAAACCAGGTAACGCGAGCCTGGTGCTTGTGGGAGTGCCTACGGCGTCCGTCCTGATTTTCTTTGTGCAGCGGGATGTTCTCTCGCGGCCAACATCGGGACCAAAGCCATTTCGTTCGACCTCTCGCTAAAGGACGAAGGCACTTTGTAGCCGGTGGATGACTGCCTGGATCCCAAGCTCGTAACTAACGACTTCATAACTCGTTAACCGGTGAATGTGCACGGAATGGGTGTTGTTACCATTTCCCTTTTGAATTGAAACTGTGGGATGGCAGAGGAAACATCCCGAGTGCAGGGACAGTTAACTAGTTAGTTAGTTGCGATGGGACATCTAGGAAGCCTTCCTACTCCTCGCAGCATTGCCCGTGGAAGAACCATCCACAGATATGGACATTGATTTACAGCGAGTTCGCAAAAAGGCCGGATGGTAGCTGTCTTCAGGATAACTAGCCTTCTCTGCTAATAGTTAAACTGCCTGACTCATCGCCCCGTGAGTCACCGGTCGATCGAGTCACCGCCTACGTTTGTTCGCGCCAGAGAGATTGACGATGCAGTGAGTAGTAGCAAGTGGAAAACAGACTGAGAACAGCATTCTCTCCGTTTGGACGCCGACGGCCAGCCTGAAGGTGCTCGACGCGGAGTGACTCGAGGCCACTGAATCCAGAGCTGGACAAGCCACTCCGGATGCAACTACATAGGCGCCTGCAATGGACTCCCACGGTTGACTCAGCCCGCATCCAGTGGATCGACGCTGTTGTCTGCCTCCATCAGGCCTTTCTAATCGAGAAATGATAACTATATAACTCAGGACGCAGTTCCTGGCGGTTCAGAAGCAGAACCCGCCGTGTGATTCTCGTCTCAACATCTTGACCGGAGACTGGCGTTGATATTCGTTTCTTCGTTCTGACTTGAAATATACCCCTTTGCTGTTGGGCTCCGTTTCTACATTTTCCCTTATATTTATAGCCATGGCGTCTTCCGATCAACAGTCACCGTCTAGCAGTCTATCCCTCCGCTTCTCTCAAACGGCGTTGTGCATCATCCCTCCCGAGAATTTATGCGGAGAAATCAACCGCCTTCGATCCTTCTATGACCAAGCCTACGGAGGATGGCCACCTCATATCAATCTTCTCTACCCATTTGTTGCCGCCGGCTCTGTTCCCGAGGCGGTCGCGCGGATTAGGACCGCTTTGATACAGCGGCGAAACGCCGCCGGCGCCCCTAATGTTCGCCTTCGTTTAGACCAAGCAGGCTTTTTCGTTCCGCGGAAGGGCAACATCGTCCATCTAATACCGCGCTCGGAGGATGCCAGCATGTCGTTAACTGACCTCCGGGACACTATTCTTGCAGCCCTGGGACAACCCGACGGAGGACAGTTTAACCCTCACCTCACAGTCGGCCAGACAAGGGCAGGTGATGAGCAGTCCCGAGACTCGTTGCTGTCGAAAGTACGGCTTTTGCCCCCAATTGAATGGAATGTCGAAGAGTTGGTCGTCCTTGTGCGTGAGCGTGTAATACAGCACGGGCAAAAGTTCAGTCAAATGCGAGTCTGGGGTACCATCGGCCTTTCTGGAGATCTTACAATGAATAACCTTGCAATCTCTGAAGTCGGACATGTCGGCGAGCACATGCATGCACTACACAATTCAGAGATGATTCCTACGCAGCCTAGCATATCTAGATCAGTTTGTGGCGAACCGATGACCACATATCAATTTCCGCCGGACGGTTATAAGTGGACACCCTGTGCTCCTATACTGGGAGAATCCGGTGAAAAGGAACCGGGCTGGGATACTCTCACAGTCTCAAGTTACAACGTGCTTCTGGAACAACCATATCCGCCTCCTCGTGGGAGATATCCTGCGCTGGTCCACACCATACTCGCACAGTCAGCACTGGCTGATATTTTGGTGCTCCAAGAAGTATGCGATGACTTTCTGTCCCATTTGCTTTCCCAGAACGAAATTCAAAGCCGTTACTGTTTTGCAACCCATGGTCCCCCTCATCAAGCGGAGTGTGCACCGTTACCCATGCAGCGAAATGTTGTAATCCTGAGTCGCTTCAGGTTCAGCTGGGAAATTTTGCCATTCACGGAACGTTACAAAACTGCTGTGATCCTCAAAATGGTTGGCGTTGGAAAACAAACGGCGGATTCGCGCTTTTTGCCTCTTATCGTTGCCGCAGTTCATCTTACCTCTGGTTTAGCTGACAGGAGGGTTTCTGCCAAAGAATCCCAGATACGCGCTTTATATGATTTTCTCGATCACACCTACCCGGAGAATCCATGCATCATTGCTGGGGATATGAACATTCCAACGTCCGCCCTTACTGTGCAAAGCGCAATGGACGAAAAGCTACTCTCCCCTGCCAAAGCATACGACCTTTCACAGCTGGAATCACTACTCTGTGGGTCTCGGTTCGAGGATGCCTGGCTTATGGCCCGCGCTAATGCCAAAGACCTTTCCCCAAACCCCGCCGACATGCTTTCTATTGATACGCTTGAGGGCGAGGAGGGTGCAACATTTGACCCTAGACGGAACCCGCTTGCCGCTGCTTCGGCTGGTCCGGACGGTCGGCCGCAGCGCTACGACAGAATATTAATGGATAGAAGTGGTTTTCTTGGGCCAACGGAATTCAATCTTTTCGGTCTTCCTGATGATGATCAGAACCCTGCAGAACTCGGCAGTGATCACTGGGGAGTGAGGGCTACGTTTTGCCTGAAACTTGAGTCTACAGCTTCCGATAACATGACCGTTGCGTCAACTTCTGCTTCGTTCCTTACGCCCACCAAATTGTTTGACAGGCATTCTTTGGAATTGTGCCTTCGCGAATCCATGATGTTGCCAACTGAGGCGGATGTTAGTAAAAGGCAATCCGTTGTCGATCTACTTCGAGATGTGATCACTCAGGGGCCGGCAGCTCGAGCTGGAGATGGCAGCGGAAATAACCCTGAACCAAATATTGCCATGGTACTAGTGCCTGTTGGCTCCTATGGCCTTGGAGTTTGGAGTCCTTCATCGGATATTGACTGCCTAGTCATCGGGCCAATCAGTTCGAAAACATTCTTTGCTGTTGCTGAGAAACGGCTACGAAAAGCAACGGATTTAGGCATAAGGATACTGCGTAGGGTGAAGGCCGCAACGGGAACAATGTTGGAGCTCGAAGTGGAGGGGATCAAATGTGATTTGCAGTACTGCCCTGCCTCGCGAGTCGTTGAGGCGTAAGTTTCTGCCATCCGCCAACCGAATGTGCTTCTTCACATTTCCACTGACACTTTTCGCAGGTGGCAAAGGATATCGCTGCTCCCGCCCGACGATTCGACATTCTATCTATCATCACAAGCTTTGACAAAGCTTCAAGCATTTAGAGATGTTGATTACATTCGGCGGAGTATCCCTGACCTAGCTGCCTTTCGAGCCGCGCATCGTTTTATAACATTGTGGGCTAAACGCCGTGGCATTTATCTTGCTAGATTTGGCTATCTCGGCGGCATTCATATCACGATGATGCTCTCTCGGGTGTGCAAACTTTCCTGTCGAAAAGGAGGAGCGACTTCGATGGATATGATCTGCAGATTCTTCAAGTATTACACCAACTTTGATTGGGAGAGGGAAATCCTTTGTGACCCTTCTTTCTTCAAGGACGCGCCACGCTATCGTCGGTACGCGAACGAGCCGATGGTAATTTTGACAATCCACACACCGTTGGTCAACATTGCGAGATCTGCATCTAAAGCTTCGACCAGGACAATAATCAAGGAGCTCCAGCGAATGGACGAGCTGATATCAACCCCTGACATGTCGTGGTCGGGGCTTGTGGGCAACATAACTGCATCGGATTCCTCTCAGGAGTTTTTAAAGACATATACTAGCTATATCAAGATTCATGTTCAATACTGGGGAATGATTTTGGCTAAAGGGAGCACCCTTCTGGGTTGGTTGGAATCAAGATGTTGTCGTCTTTTGAATGGTAAGTAGTTCTTACCTCAGTGGTGACCTGGTCGGTTAACGGTGCAAGTAGATATTGATAGGTGCTTACCCGGTGTCCATGCAAGAATATGGCCCGCGAGATTCACTTCAAGAGAGAGTGTCGGTGATGTTACAGAATACGAAGGGTTCTACCTTATTGGCCTTGCGAGAAACGAGACGGGTGATCCTGAAAGTACTACGCTGGAGGGACGTCGACAAAACGCGGCTTTGCTTGATAGGATCCTAGGGCAGTTTGCTTCCCAAGCCCAAGGAGAAACGATATATTTCGACCCCACAACTTCCTGGATAGATGTCACTCATGTCAAACAATCTGAACTTGGTCCTCTTAAACTTGATGATAGGGAATGGGGAATCCACGTTTGTGCTGAAGAAGCATCCGACGTCGATGACGACGAGGACGAAAACAGCGACTCTACCGCCGCTACTGTTGCCGCTGCTCGCGCGTCTCGCAGGTCCGGCATGCCCAACAAGCCGAGCGCCAAACTCCGACCAGCAGCGGATATCCTTAACCGTCTACGCTGGGACTCGAACATGGATTCGAGTGACTTTGTGGTCGGATATGACGACCGGTTCCTGGGCAGTATGGAAATCCCGCTGGAGAATTGGAAGACGGAGCAAACGGACGAGGAATTTATCCCGCAGCATCGGATCATGTATTTCAAAAGGAAAAGCGATGGAGAGGTGGTTTGGGATAGGGAGACCAAGAAGGATTTGATATTTGGCAGTGGGGTCTCAGAAAAGCAGGAAAAGTGACTTTCTCAGCAATTTTTTCAGCTGGATGGTTCATTATCTACTAGATTTTCGCTTGTGAATAGCATTGTTGGATGATGGAGAAATCAGCTAGGACTACAGACCCAGAAAAACTAGACAATATCGAATAAATTAATATCTCAGACTCTACATCTTCCCTTTCCGGGGGAACTTTGTGTCTAAAAAAAGGGATATCTTGCGGTCATTAACTATGAGGGCTCGTCACGTAAATTCATCGCAACGATTTTGTTCACCAGAAGCCAGATTCGTCAGGTACGGAATTACAACTCCTTCTTCAGGAAGTGCTCGGGTTTATGCGTGGTTTCGTAATCAACGTGCACATAAGCGCGCTCGACGTCTGGGAGGCTCTCGAGTTTTATTTGAAGTTCTTCCGCGACATCGTGTGTGGCGCGTAGAGATGCGCTCGGGTCCATCACGATGTCGACCTCCACCAGAAGTCGGGGACCGGACGTGTATGCACGGACAGTGTCGATGGCGTTGATCAAAGGTGAGTGAGTCATGGCTGTGGGAAAATGGTTAGTTAGCCCGACAAGGGCGATGAAGCAGGGAATGAGATGGGGTTGGGACTCACAGATGTAGGTGATCAACTGCTGCATTTCTGTGTCGGCAGTGACGCCGATGAGGAGCTGGAATTCCGAGTATGCGGTCTTTAGCCATAAGCCGGCAATCAGAGTTGAGAGGATGAGTGCGCCCATGGGGTCAATCCACCATCGAAGCTTGCTTCCCCCGACTGATGTGAGAATACCAAGGCCATTGATGAGGAGATCGTTCCGGTGATCCTCCCAGAGGATTCGGATCTGTGAGTACTGGTTCCTCAAGGCCCAGCAGTACACGAAGAGAAGGAACTTTGTGGCGAAGGCGATACTGACAGCGATCACGGACGGGAGATGGAACCCCAGCGTGTCCTCCTCGTTGCCTGTGACCAGGTCGCGCACCGAAAACGCGATAAGGATGAAGGAAACGGCCATCATCAAGAAGCAGAAACATATGTTTCCGGCGGTCTCAATGCGGGCTTTTCCAGCGGGAAATTTCCTTGCATCGACCCGCTTCACGGCTTTGTGGCACAGCAGCAGGGTCAGATTGGAGAGCGGGTCGAACACCGAGTCCGCCATGGTGGTGAACAGGGACAGCGACCCAGATGCGATGGCGCCGTAGAGCTGGAGGATGGCCAAGACCACATTCGCCGCGAAGCTGCCGTAGACAGCGATTTTGTAGCGCAATTGGTTTTGGTTGTTGAACTCGCGGGCCAAACGGACATGCTCGTCAACTGGCTTCAACAGCCGTTCAATATTTGCGTTCTGGGTCCTGTAGAAGCCCTGGACCTGTTTTGCCGAAGGATTGCCGTTCCGTCGTGCAAACCTGCGTCGTCGCGACGTATTTGCGGGGATGGAGTCGATTTCGGCGTCGGTTTTCAGCTTGGAGGATAGCTGGAACGGATCGTTTTCTCGAGTGTAGCGAGGGGGGTGGCCGCCCTCTTCATCGGAAGAGTTGTTGGCTGCCATGACTGGGTGGGAGTAGGAGCCGGGCTCGATGCCGGTGCTCGTGCAGAGGGAGGGAGGAGGAGGGTGCGGACCGGATGGAGCGCTGGGAGACGCAGTCGGAAGAGCCATTTCGGAGCGATTGTGCAGGTAGGACGGCGGCGCAACGTGGATGCGGGAGGGATTCTTCTCCTCCATGACGAACCGGCTGCTGCGTGCACGAACTGCGCCCTTCTGGCTGGCTGTTTCGTGATGCACACTCGCTGCAGTGATTGTCGGTCTGGACGCTGTCGCACGGTGCCGCGCCGCCCGTACGCCGCTGCTGATTGGTGCGGAGAGTGATCAGCAATCAGATAACAGGGCTTGGCACCGGATCAGGCCCCACCCGGAGCGCGCCAAGCCTCTAGCCTGTTTCGGACGCCTACCCGGTCACGTGCTGTCTCACTCCTCGACACGTCGCTCTTTTGGGTAACCCCAACCTCATCCGAAAATAAATCATCCATCCGAATAGCAAAGCAGACAAGCCAGAGCGATCATACTCTGCTGGGCGGAGGAGGCTTGACCCTAAGCTCAGCAGGCACTCTATGCAATCCCATTCTCTAAAAGATACCCCTGCTGTAGAAAGAAAAGACAATCCATCTCTCTGTGCTTTGGGGTTTCTTCTAGCTCAAGATCCTCTGAAAGGATGAGCATTGTTATCTTCGGAACAATCCGTCTAGGGTTCTGTTCCTCTTGCACTCTAATCAAACACATACTGATGTGTTGCTTAGACCACCAGAAATGTCAGGTTCAATGTACTCGATATCACAAAAGATTCATTCCTACAAAAAGTAGCCTGGTGAATCTGAGATGCCTTTTCTCTTTTCCCTCCACCACCACCCTCAAAATCCTTGATCCATCTTGCCATCATTGTCGACAGCAGTGGTCGCGTTCTTGTGGTGCCTGAAGCCAGCGTCACTTTTTACTTTTTTTGCTTCCTATGTCTTCTTCCTTCCCGGCATATCGCAGTCGCTAGTCAATAATCCCTATCGCCATGGACGAAAACCATAGAAGTGCTATTTCTATGCTCCCACTCCGTTTTCATGCGTCGCATGCTATTGTTAACTTTACGCCACATAAATCATGGCCGCCAAATCGTGTCTCGACGGACATTTTCTTCCTCATCAGTGAATATCTGACCAGGTCTGACCTTGCTCGGCTTCGACTTGTGAACCGCGAGTTTGCGCATAAGCTAGAGTATCTGTTCTTCTACCAGGTGTCAGTTCCGTTTTCCCCAGATTTCTACGTGGCGAAAACGACCAAGGAGGATGACGTGGGCATTTTCGAAAGAGTCGGGTCCAACATCTCGAGGTTTGCTATCACTGTAGATATTGATCAAGGTAAGGGTGTCCTCGTCCTCCTCACATTGAATCCGTTTCCACTTATTGATCTTCGTCGTTTACCAGCTGCTCTATTCTTGCCTCCCCTCCCTGCCAATCCTATTTGTCCAAACTTGGTTGGCTGGGCCGCGCATGGCCGGTTAGATCGTGACCGGGTACTGTATCAACGACTGAGAGATATGGAGCTGCTCGCATTCCGTCAACGTCGGATGGCCAAAGCATTTTCCCACCTGAACGGCGTAAAAGAAATTGCCCTTAGCTTGAACACTGGGCTGGGATGGCTGCCGCCACCAGTCGTCTACCGCTTCCAACCTGTCTTTCAGCAACCCTCTATTGTTTTTCGAGATAAGCATCCCCACCTGTCTTCAAGCCAATATATTATGCCCGATAGCGGTGCTCGATCAGGCACAAGAATTGCCCCTGCTCCATATGTGTTCGCACCGGCTGGTGAGAAAGAAGGTAAGAAGGCTCACGGCACCTACGAACTTTTCGTTCATATTTATTCCCTCTAATACCGGTATACTGATTTGATTCGTAAAGTGACAACCTGGTATGGTACAGATGGCTCGCAATTCTGTGATGCCTGTCGCGATCAGGCTCAGCTGGAACTGTTAAGTGAAACTTCGCATATGATAAAGCAATTCCTGGACTCTTTCTTCCCAGCAGCCATAACCAATACCCACGTGTTCCAGAATCTCCATACTCTGACCTTTGCCGGCATTTCGTCCAAGTTACTAGAGGAATTTGGTCACCATGACAAGTTTTTCACTTCGTTCAGCACCGTGAAAACGCTGACCATACTCGTGTACCCCGACTGGAGGGAATTTGACGGCACAAATCTGCGATCTATCCTGCCGAGTGGCGCATGTATCAAGTTCTTTAAACTTCTCAAGGACCAGGTAGTGTCTCTCCCGAATATTGAGTCGCTGACGCTAGGTTACATTGGAGGAGGAGAGTATGCAAACGGACTTTTGGCCCGCAACAGATACATCCTTCCTGCTCCGATTATGGGAGCACCGATGCAAGCGGCCACTGGAAATGTGAAAGAAGGAGTTTTGGCGTTCAATCACGTAAAATCACTGACATTCGAAAACTGCTGGTTTTCGCCCACAGCACTGAAACGATTCCTACAGATGTCGCAAAAGAGTGCCTTGGAGAGATTGACGTTTGATTCGTGCTCTTTGGTTTCAACTCCTGGCCGCAGACATTGGGCACCAACCCGTTCTGGCTGTTCCACTGTCGGGCCACCGCAGGGATACAACCGCCGACTCCCTAGCGGGTCATGGAGTTCAATTCTTGCGCAGTTCGGGCCGCATCTCCCGATAACAGATATGCGTCGTCTCCCTTTACCTAGTCAAGTGGACTTTTCCAACTTGAAACTGCGACAGCACAGCCCTCCTGTGAATCTTCAGCGGATGCAGTTCATTTCCTGCGGGTATGCTCTACTTGGCGATTTTTATCACCAAACCAACCTCGTTTTGGACGACTACAGCAACCATAGAAGACAGGCAGATGCTGAAGCTCGTCTGCGCAACACGGTGCAGGACGTGGACGTGAGTCAAGTACCGGTATACGCTCCCTTTACTCGGCGAGTGTACACCGAAGATCCGCTTCTTGGGAGTATTATCCAGTCGATCGACGCGCGTGAGGAGTTTATGTTGAAATGGGGATTTGGATTTCGTCTTGGTTGGCCTGAAGGAGATGGGCTCTGTGAAAGTGTGGAAGCAGACGGGTGGAGACGTGGAGGGACCGCGAGGTTTTCCGGAGCGCTTTTCTATCCGCGGAAGGAAGACATCGAGAAATCGACCATGTGCAGCTGGGATCCCGAAATATATCATGTTCAGACTTGATCTTCGGCGAACAAGGTGTTCGGAACATGGCTGGAGGTGGTTGGTGTGGTTGAGGGGGCTGGTTGCGCATGATATCGATTTTGGAATGGATTTACAAATAAAAAATCCAGAAAATAAAAACGAAGAAAGGACAAAAGAAAGCAATCTTTGAATTAATGAAAAGAGAATTGAACCATCTGCCAGTGTCTAATATGTCTAATATGTAAATCCTGAGTTGCTGCTTAGTTGACTTCTGTTCATTGCTTCACAGTCCTCAATGGAGCAACAAGCCGCCTTGATACTCCTTGGACCAATATGAGCTTGTGAACGTGGACTATCATCAATCTAGATTGCAGTTTTGACAAGATGGACTTGATTGTTCCTGCAAAGTAGGTAGGAAACCGGTATAAGGAGCAGGAAGGGCTACCTTGATAGTACGGGTAAATCATCGAAATTTCAATGGTTTCCCCGCTGCCTCAGCTGCCATTCTTTCAAGTGTTTCGTCATCCGGGTCAATTGCAAATGGAAATTCAATGGGAACCATTGGGTCAATGCCGCCTTGATCAGTATCCTCCCAGGGGGCTGCTATTTCCCAGCAGTGATAATGTACTCCAGGTGAAAATTTCGCAGGTTCAGCATCCCCCAATCGATATACATATTCAAAATCAATGATGTAGCTAAAAGGGAAGGAAGGGAAGTCAATAGAGTGGTGCCCCATTGCGCGAATTGGATTGATTTACCATTTTTTGCCTTTGGGATCCCAGATCAAGTTGCGGCGACCAGGATCGTCGAAATCCGAGAGCAAGGAATTCACTTCATATTCTATTCGCAGAGTATCGTATCAAGGGGAGGAACTGGGGGACGGTACCGGAATGCCTTTGCGAAAGCCAGCCGGACTTGATCTCTCTCAGCTAGAGGCAATTTATCAAATTGAATTAGATTTTGTCCGGGAAGCCGTTCCATTATGGTGATACCAAAGAATCCTCCAGGAACATAATGATTTTCTCCCTGCCTTGCTATGACATAGTCAAGGAGCTTCGGCGTGTAAGCGCAACCCAAATCCGTCAGATCACGCAAGTTAGAGAGCTCAAATGCGAGACAAGCGCTTGACTCGGCCGGCTCTGTGGAAGAAGGGTCGTCTTCATCTGGAATCCTGGATATTTCAATTTCAGCCGAAGCAAACAAGATAAAAGTGACATTTCCATCTAGAGGCCGTTACTCACTGCACCCTTATCTTTGCAATGCGTTGAAGCCCAGGGTTTGGGCCTTGGACTTGTGTCGCAACGCACGTAGCACTGGCTTCTGTGATCATTTTCTTATGTAGCATATCATCATCAACTAAAATTTCACGTTCCGCAAAGATGGGACCAAATTGCCACACGCATTTCGACTCTGGAAAGCGCATCGGTTCAAGGTCCGACACCCATCTAGACTCTCGATGTTGGCACAGCTCGAGCATGTCATCTGTGAACTCGGAAACATCCATTTGCGATTGAGGCGGAACGGCACAAGCATTCGCCTCTAGCTGATTCAGACTGCACTCTCCCTGGACAGCTTGATGTGAATCAGCCTGGATTATTTAGAGAGGCGAGTGCACTTGCCAGTTAGCCAGTTGCCAATGAATGCATGTCAGTTGGAATTTGTTTTTTAGGCACCCGTTTGTGCCGCGGAGGATGATGTTGGAATCAGTGCATGCAAATTGGTGTCATCTGTTGAATGTAGTTTCGATAATTAAAGTAACTACCGCACATCTTGTCAATAGTTAGCTGCAATAGCATTTGCAAAGATCTTCTATCCCATTTGATTCCTGGGTTAGTGTTGGTTGCACAGTCATCTCCCTCAGTATCAACCCCTGAGATGGATATCAGATCTTGTGACTCTGTGGCAGGGTAAGCAGCAATCCCAGCCGGTTCTTTTATTAGACCGTTGCAGCGGGGACGTTGGCTATGCCACATGGAGTAACACCGGATGCAGGATTCTGGACCCCAGATTGCTGCCTCCAAGCACCGGTGGGCGATCTCGCAAATCGTCGAGCGCAACGCGATGCCGTCTGGCCGCGCAGTCATGGGGATGGCGGCCACGCGTCGTGCGAGTGCTGGCCACTGAGATGCCAGCGGACGCGACAGCCCTTAACCACGGTGCTGTAGCAGGGGGGCTGGCTGGGGGACTCCGGGGCAGCACCCGCTAGCTAGAGGGTCGCCACAGCGCTTAAGCCCACTAACTAATCGGCCATAGTCAACGCTAGTTAAGCACCAGGCCGCCATTCGGTTGGCTGCACGAAGCAGCACGGCGAGGATGCTCGATTGGGGGCGCTTTTGCAAATCATCTCTTGGCCTCGCCGTCTGTCTTTTGCTTCTGTGATTGTCCAGCTCGCTCTTTTGTGTTCTCCCCGCTCATTGCACTTTGCACCACGCTCATTCCACGTTGCCTGGATCCCTGCCGTTGAGCCAGAATGAAACGCCTGGTGGGAACCCTGAAGCGCACAAGTGAGTTGGCCGAGTCCTCGCGTCCAAAGTGCTTGCAAGCGTGCTGACCGGGCGACTGTGCAGAAGGGATAGGGGCGCAACTCCATCGGTCGAACGGTGCATCATATCCGCAAGAATCGCTCGAAAACAGCGTCGTGACGGAGATTGTGAGTTTGTCGTATCCGCATCGTCTTTGCGAGTTGGCTGGCTCACTGGAACCGATAGAAAGCCTTTTGCGACGCGGCAGCGCGAAACACAGTGAGTGGTTCTCCCCCCCCTGGCTGCGATCATGTCCCCTCGACGGGTGTTAAGCGGGAGACCAGGGCGATGAATTCCTCCATCTGCCGGCCATCGTCGAGGCCGCGGAGTCGACCCCTGCCGCTGCCAGGGCCGCAGCGCATCAGATCTACAAGTATCTGTCGAAGCCAAACGGATACCCCGAGCACCAGCAGTATAACGCGATTATGCTGATTCGAATCTTATCCGACAACCCCGGGCCGACATTCACGCGCCACATCGATGCGCGCTTCGTCTCGTCGCTGAAGATCCTGCTGCGAGACGGGCAGGAGGTCAGCGTGCAGCAGATTCTAAGGGAAACGCTGGAATTCCTCGCAACGACCAAGGCGCGCGACACCAATCTCTCGGAGGTGAATAACATGTGGCAGAAGGAAAAGGACAAGTTTGTCAAGATGTTTGGTGTCCATCCGGTGAACAAAGGCCTTTGCGCTCTCATCCACTGGGGGAAAATACTGATTACTGTTCAATAGCTTCAAGGCCCTGCCCACGCGATGTACCCCGGATACCGCCAGGACTTCTTTTCCAGGAACCAAAGATCAAAGGGCTTGCCCAGCCAGGAAGAACTAGCAGGCCGTATATCAGAGGCGGCGACGTCGGCGAAGCTGCTGCTGCAGATGGTGGCATCGACATCCTCGTCGGAATTCTTTGAGAATGATATGCTCAAAGAATTTGCCAGCCGATGCCAGCGGGCGTCCCGGTCATTACAAAACTACATGGAGGCGACGGATCCGGCGCCGGACGAGGAAACCATGATGACCCTGATCGAGACAAACGACAAGATTTCGGTCGCGCTGTCAAGGTATCAGCGGGCGCATCTCAACGCGAGGAAGACGGTCAAAGCAAGCGAGTCGCAAACCCAGCTTCCACAGACGCCCCAAGGCCAATCCCAAGACGACAGGCCCGTCTCGCCGCTCGAGGAGCCGACGCCCGTGCGGCGCTCCAGGCCGCATGTGCCGATCCTCTCGATCCCCCGAAAGGCGCTGAAAAAGTTCCAGCACCAGCCATTCACGCAGGAACCCGCGCAGCCACCACCCACGACGACGACGGTTCATACCGCTACTACCACCACCACCACCACCACCGCCCATGACTTGTCGCCCATTGATCCGGCGCCGCCGAGCGTGCCGGGGCCACGGTCGCAGCACGGAGATGCGTCCTCGTCGCAGGGCTTCCAGTACAGGCCGGGCGAGTTCCAGGTCGAAAACCCGTTTGCGGACAAGTTCAGCACGACGCACGACCGGCCGCAGGACGCGTACAGCACCAACCGTAGCAGCAGTGACGACGCGAGGCGGGAGCGGGAGGACAGGGACGTGTCGCCCACGCAGGCGATTGGCGTTGCGACCTCGGGCGGGGCGGCGCCGGGCATGAGCAGTACATATTACCCCGGTGGACATGATGCGCTGTTTGACAGCGATTTCAGCCTGCCGCCTTTGCATCGGAACGATGGGGCGGGTAATACCAAGGTGTAGCCTGTATCTGGTCTTTTTTCTTTGCTTCTATACCCGTGATGAGTTTACATGTAGGATGTGGATGTGGATTTCAGATGAACTGGATAACTGCACACACATGCTTTTAGAACTATGCAAGTATCATAATATTTACACCAAACAGATCTACAAAGAAGATACAAAAACGCCAAGGGAAAATGCAAGTACTTGGAAAATGCCATCATGTGCAAACACCATTGTCGCCGGGAAATGGGTTCATGTTCATTGAAACAGGGGGGTATAGCAGGAAAAATCACCACGTAAATGCCTCTTCCACAAAGTCGACCACGACGCCCCTGTTGATCCTGCCGCGAACGGCGGCGCGCACCTCGTCGGCAAAAGCACCGGGCCCGCAGACCGAGGCCACGGTAGCGCCGACCCTGGTCTCCAGGGCCTCGTCCAGCACCACGTTGGGCCGGCAGCGACCGGGGAACATCTGCAGGGTGGTGCTGGGACTGGTGATTTCGCGGGTGCTCTTTGGCTTGCTGATGAACAGCTTGGTGATGAGGACCTCGCGTCGGTTGGGCAGGTGGAGGATCGAGTCCATGAAGCCGCGCACCCAGGTGAGATGCTCGGTCGTGCGGACGGACCAGACAAGAAAGACTTTTCTGGTGGCGACGGTGCCGGCCTCGGCGGCTTCGAGGAGGCCGCGGACCTGCAGCAGGTGGTGGGTGATGCCGGCGCCGCCAGAGAAGAGGACGACGGTGCCATAGCTGCCAAAGGCGGCGGGGGGGTGCGAGACGTAGGGGCCCTCGATGAAGCCGCTGGTTTCGAGGGTGAGGTTGGGGGCTGCGAGGGCGGCGTTGTAAAGCTTGCGGGTCATGCCGGTGCGGGCGGCGATGATCAGGGTGACGCGGGTGGAGCTGAATCTGGTGCCGCTGAGCTCTTCGTCAAAGTGCTGCTTGAACGGGCTGGTAGTAGCCGATTTCTCGGTCTGAGGCGGGTCGGCATCGTCGTCGGTCCAGGCCACGGAGAAGGGGTGCGACATCCAGAGGGAGATGCGCGGGAGGTAGGCGTACACGTGGCTGCCGGGGGGGACGCGGACGTGCTTGGGCAGGAAGAAGGTGACTCGGGTGGCCTCTCCGGGCATGGCCTTTGCAACGACGCGGGTGAGGCCGTGGCGGCGCGAGGTGTTGAGGTAGACGAGGCGGAG